CTTTGTGTTCAGGGTACAAGTGCAGCTGTACTTGGTTGGATGATGTCTAAGGGTCCTGCCTGCCAAGAAACGTTGCACCTGCATGTTTGTCAGTCGGGACCATGTGTGTCAGGGTACAATGTGCAGGCTGCTACTCTCCTCAGAGTCTGGCTGATGTCTATGAGTCCGTCCATACAGCCGCTGCACACACCGAGCACTGTCGCTTTTACTGTAGTTTGTTGTCGGTCAGGAGGGAGGCACAAAGGGAGCTGAAATGCAGAATGTACCGGAGGAGTGGAGGGAAGAACGGAGCGTTGGAGGAGGAGGAGAGAATGATGTTAAACCCTGGGAGGGGAGAGAGGCCTTATTCCTAACAAACGCTGGTAACTCCAAACAGGACATGGACAAGCGGAAAGAGACCGGGGTTAAGGAGAGGGGGAAGGAGAATGGAGAGATGATGAATGGAGGGGGGAAGGGGACGGAGGGGACGGGTAAAGAATCGCTGATGATGGAGCTGACCCGTCTGGTTCAGAAGACAGTGAAGGAGAGTAGCTGGTGGGAGAGGAGAGGCATCGACATCACTATCCTGGTCCTCGCCTTTCTCCTGCTACCCCCAGGTAATCTATACACCCGTCTCACACACTTCATACACCTGTCTCACACGCTGCATACACCTGTCTCACACACTTCATACACCTGTCTCACACGCTGCATACACCTGTCTCACACACTTCATACACCTTGTCTCACACACTTCATACACCTGTCTCACACACTTCATACACCTGTCTCACACGCTTCATACACCTGTCTCACACACTTCATACACCTGTCTCACACACTTCATACACCTGTCTCACACACTTCATACACCTGTCTCACACACTTCATACACCTTCTCACACACTTCATACACCTGTCTCACACACTTCATACACCTTCTCACACACTTCATACACCTTCTCACACACTTTATAGCCTTTTGTTATTATACAGTATATTTATATAGTGTAGGTTTACCACATTTAGTTCCTCCTACCCCCAGGTAAGACATCTACCTGCACACCGCAATACATACACCTGTCTCAAAGACTTTATAGTGGTCCTCTCTGCCTCAGTTGGTAGAGCATGGCGCTTGCAATGCCTGGATCGTGGGTTTGATTGCCGCTGGATCCACCCATACGTAAAAATGTATGCACACGTGACTGTAAGTCGCTTTGGATAAAAGTATCTGCTAAATGGCTTATTATATTATATCATTTTTTAAAGGTAAATATAAAGCATAGTTTTACCACGTTCAGTTCACCATACCCCCAGGTAAGACACCTGTCTTACAACGGCAAAACTGCTTGAAATGACGTATTTTCAAACAATTTTGCTCACTGGGTTTTAACCTGGTTTTAACCAGATTGAACGATGGGTTCATTAGTGAGAGTAACATTTAGTCTGTTCCAACCAGGCTAACACGTTATAGTCCTTATAAAGGTACAAATAGGTTTGTATTTACCACATCCTGTGTGACATGCAGATTTGTTGTAAATACACAGGAAGAAGGGAAGTGAGAAATCCACTGTACTAAAACATGGAGGATTATGGCTGTAACTTAATCCCAGATTTCAGTCACCTGGCCAAACAAGGTTCTCCACGGGGGAAGGGTCAGGACCAGAAACACATAGCACGTGCTTTATAGCAGAATAGAATGTTCAGGGAAGCTGTTCTAGAATGTGTTTCAGATGGCAGGAGTAGAGTGGAGTGGAACTGTGTTGCAAAATTGTCTATTGAGATCTGTCAAACTATCTTATGCTTATTTATGTAGCCTGGTCCCAGATCTGTTTGGCATGACAATGACCATAGCAGTTGGCAAGACATCCAAAAACGGATCTGGGACCAGGCTAATGCTAATGGCTAGATGTTTACCCGTTCTACATTCCATAATGTGGAATATTTGCATCTAGAACAAACTGTGTAAACTTTCCACCCTTTGTTTGACCCCGTTTCCTCCCCTCTCCTTCCCCATATCCCTCTCTCCTCATCTCTTTCTCTCCTCAACTACATCTCCCCTTCTCCATTTCTCCTCCAGCCTTTCTGCTGCTGGGCTCGTCCCAGGTCCTGGTGTTTGTCCTGGGCATGGTGCTTATGGGGGTGTCCCATGCTGTCATCACCATCAAGGGAACCCACCTGGCCAGCCACGGATCGCTGAGCGAGTCCCCTGCCTGGGCCGAGGTCTGGGCTGTGTTCTTCATAGAGGTAAGAGAGAGTGAGAGTGAGAGGGGTTGGGGGGGCATAACTGATGTAATTTCAGCTAGTAATTCAGCTGTCTGTCTGTCCAGGTGTGTGGGTCGTTCACAGCGAGGGCAGGTGTAACAGGCCACATTAAGATGCATCATGCCCACACCAACGTGATCGGCCTGGGTGACTCCAGCACCTGGAAGATACCCTGTCTACCCCGGAGCGTCTACCTGTTCATTGCACCCCTGGCTGTACCCATCATCACTCCTCTGGTGGCACTAGGTGAGGCACAGACAGGGTCTGTGTGTGTGTGTGTGTGTGTGTGGTGTGTGTGTGTGTGTGTGTGTGTGTGTGTGTTTCCAGGTGTAGCGTCTACCTGTAAGATATTATGTAAGATACATAATGCTTAGTCGCTGTTAGGTTGCCGTTGTGTTGAAACAGGAACATGTTGATACCTGTGTTAAGCTAATCATGTTTGAAAGGCTGACAGAATAACATGTAATTGTTTAGGCCCCTTATTATTTACATTGATATCTTCACTCCAGGCTGTGATGGTGGAACTGTCTCTCTCTGGTCCCTGTCCCTGTCTCTCTCTGGTCCCTGTCCCTGTCTCTCTCTGGTCCCTGTCTCTGTCCCTGTCTCTCTCTGGTCCCTGTCCCTGTCCCTGTCTCTCTCTGGTCCCTGTCCTCTGTCCCTGTCTCTCTCTGGTCCCTGTCCCTGTCCCTGTCTCTCTCTGGTCCTGTCTCTGTCCCTGTCTCTCTCTGGTCCCGTCCTGTCCTGTCTCTCTCTGGTCCCTGTCCCTGTCCCTGTCTCTCTCTGGTCCCTGTCCCTGTCCCTGTCTCTCTCTGGTCCCTGTCTCTGTCCCTGTCTCTCTCTGGTCCTGCCTGTCTCTCTCTGGTCCTGTCCCTGTCCCTGTCTCTCTCTGGTCCCTGTGCCTGTCCCTGTCTCTCTCTGGTCCCTGTCTCTGTCCCTGTCTCTCTCTGGTCCCTGTCTCTGTCCCTGTCTCTCTCTGGTCCCTGTCTCTGTCCCTGTCCCTGTCTCTCTCTGGTCCCTGTCTGTGGTCCCTGTCCCTGTCTCTGTGTCTCTGCCCCTGTCCCTGCCTCTACCTGTCTCTGTCCCCTGACGCTGTCCCTGTCTCTGTGTCTCTGTCCCTGCCTCTTTACCTGTCTCTGTCTCTGTCCTTGTCTATGTCTCTGTCTTTGTTCCTGTCCCTGTCTCTGTCCCCGTCCCTGTCTCTGTCCCTGTCTCTGTCCTTATCTTTGTTCCTGTCCCTGTCTCTGTCCTTGTCCTCTCTATCTCTGTCTCTGTCCTTGTCTATGTCCCTGTCTTTGTTCCTGTCCCTGTCTCTGTGTCTCTGTCCCTGCCTCTTTACCCGTCTCTGTCCCTGTACCTGTCTCTGTCCTTGTCTATGTCCCTGTATCTGTCTCTGTCCCTGTCCCTGCCTCTTTACCCATCTCTGTCCCTGTACCTGTCTCTGTCCCTGTCTCTGTCTCTGTCTCTGTCTTTGTCCTTATCTCTGTCCCTGTCTCTGTTATGTGACTGTATCTAACTGTGTGTTGTAACTGATTGTGTGTATCCCTGACTATGACTGTATCTAACTGTGTTGTCCCCAGGCGTGTTCGAGTGGATCCCTTTTGTCAATTTACCATAATGCAACATACCTTTCAAAGTGTGTTACATTATGGGGAGAAAAACTCTCAGAGTTGCGCCTACATATCGACTGCATGAACTTTACAAAAATCATGTGATCAAAGGTCATGAAGTTTTGACTGCAAGTTTCTGCAGTTGCTCTTCCCCAACTTCATCCTGCAGCCATCGTCTGCATTGTGGGAGGTTCTATTGTCAACCAATCACTAGGCAGTTTTTTAAAATCCATACGAACTTGACCAAAGACATGACTGAAACAGGAACCAACTTTGCCGCATCTCATGTATACAGTGGATATAAAAACAAATACATGTGATATTTGAGGCTCTCTCTCACACCAATTGATTGTACAATGTACACGCATATAGTTTGTGAGTGTGTGATATGGGGGTTGGAGACATGTTTATTTTAGACATTATAAAGAAACACTCTTCTAAACAACACTGCCATGTTGCACTGAGCCTTGCAGTTGGAAAACCACAGTTGCAGTTGGGCTCCACAGTGGCGCAGCGGTCTAAGGCACTGCATCTCAGTGCTAGAGGCGTCACTACAGACCCCCTGGTTCGATTCCAGGCTGCCTAGTTAAATAAAGGTGAAATAAAATTACAAAAACAACTGTCGCAGATGCACCTCCCCCCCGACTACACTCCTTAACCTGTCTACGGTCGGTTGCTTTCGCCTTACCACTCAAAACACTTCCTGTCTGTGTGTGTAGGTCAGCTGAAGGACCACTCGGTGAGCCAGGCCCTGAGGACAGTCCTGATGGTGTTCCTGGGGTTTTACTCTCAGTACTGGCTACTGATCCATGTCTCTGGGTTCCAGGGTCCATACAGCAGCCTCCTCTGCATGCTGCTCTGCAGGGCCATGTTCTCCATACCCTACATACACGTTAATGTCTTCCAGGTGAGACACACACACACACACTTGACTAAATATAACATCAAAGTTAGTAATAAATGGGTAGTTGGTGATTTGGACATTATTTTGGGTTGAGTAGTATTTGGGTCAAAGTGTTAAATCAGTCTTTTCGTAGAGAAAGCTCACCCCCTCACGCTTCACAATGCAGCATTGTGTCCTCACAGCTTCTACCGGGAATTCTAACATTTCAGGCAGTTCAAGGGCTACAGAAGAATAAAAACTATTCATGCATGATTTTCCCAGACGGAGCCTTTCGTTTCCAGTCTATTGTTGTTAACGAGTACAAAAGGTTTTGAAGTGGGATTTAAAATGAAACAGCGGTTATTGATGTAGCTAAAACCCACGGGTAGAGGTGGGGAGGGAACTCTCGTGTCAAAAGGAGTGCACTATAATGGAAATACCGTGCAATTTGGGATGCAGCCCTTACGTTCTTCAGGGTGGAGTAGTGAATGTGAAGGAGAAACCTTTTCCCCTATAGTATGTTGTTGTTCTGTTTGTGTTGCTGTTGTTGTTGTTGTTCTGTTTGTGTTGCTGTTGTTGTTTCCGTCCACGCCCGGTACTCCCAACTGTGGCTGTCCTTGCCTGGCCCTGTACTGTTGACACCGTTGCAGAGGTGTGTAACTCAATGGTGGGCGCATAGAGATGAATAATATAATGTCTATGGGTAGACCTCCAGCAGCCTGATCACGCTGGACTCTGCATCCCATCTTTCTACTATATTGTGAATGTGTCCAGGGCAGCAACAACATGGCAACAGTTTCTCTCTGGGTATCTTCCCCTTAACTGAATCAGCAGGGGTTCACACACACACACACACACACACACACACACACACACACACACACACACCCTGAGCACGTCTTTCCATTAAACCGTCCTCTCCTGTTCCATACAGCACATCGGCCTGTCTATGTTCTCCCCGACCCGACGGCCCAAGAGGATTTACCAGATGACCCACGGGGTTCTGAACCTGCCTCGGAACCCCCTGCTGGACTGGATCTTCGGACACTCCCTCATCAACTGTCACGTGGAACACCACCTGTTCCCCTTCCTCTCCGACCACATGTGTCTCAAGGTACAACGTGTGTGTCGCAAATGGCACCCTATTCCCATAGGGCTCTGGTCAAAAGTAGTGCACTATATAGGGAATAGGATACCATGGGACACAGACAGTGTGTCTGTCAAATACGTGTGGGAAGGTCAGGGTTGGGGCCAAATCCATTTCACATTACTAATTGAAAAGCTATGAGGAATTGACTGAATTGAAATGGAATTGACCCCAACCTTGCTTACAGTGCAATAACAGGACATCTGTCAAATATAAGTTCATCAAAGAAGCTTCTTTCAAGAAAATTACATTCACTTTCACCTCTAAACTATGTGGAACTGCTGATTGTAAAAATGGCTTGATAAAATAAATGTGATTGATTGACCGATCGATCGATCGATATGAACCCTTTTCCTTTCCTCCCTCCTTTCCTCTCAGGTAAAGCCCATCGTGTCCCAATATCTAAAGGAGAAGGAGCTCCCATACCAGGAAGACAGATACTTCTCCCGTCTGCAGCTCTTCTTTCACAAGTACCAGGAGCTCATGGTGTTCGCCCCGCCCATCACCGAGCTGGTGGGGGTGCAATGATGGAGGGAGGAGGAGGAGGGAGGAACTGATGGTGTTCCCCGCCTTCATCATAGAGCTGGTGGGGTGGGGGAGCAATAATGGAGGGAGGGAGGGAGGGAGGGAGGGAGAGAGGGAGGGAGAGAGAGAGGGCGGAGGTGGAGGATGACATGTAGGTCAGGAAACAAGGACTATACCGACTAACTAACCCATGCTGCTGTGTGCTGTCACTGGATTAAGAGATCGCTACCACTGTCCTACAGTGGCTTGCAAAAGTATTCACCCCCCTTGGCATTTTTCCTATTTTGTTGCCTTACAACCTAGAATTTAAATGGATTTTACGGGGGGTTGTATCATTTGATTTACACAACATGCCTACCACTTTGAAGATGCAAAATATGTTTAATTGTGAAACAAACAAGAAATAAGACACAAAAACAGAAAACTTGAGCGTGCATAACTATTCACCCCCCCAAAGTCAATACTTTGTAGAGCCACCTTTTGCAGCAATTACAGCTGCAAGTCTCTTGGGGTATGCCTTTATAAGCTTGGCACATCTAGCCACTGGGATTTTTGCCCATTCTTCAAGGCAAAACTGCTCCAGCTCCTTCAAATTGGATGGGTTCCGCTGGTGTACAGCAATCTTTAAGTCATACCACAGATTCTCAATTGGATTGAGGTCTGGGCTTTGACTAGGCCATTCCAAGACATTTAAATGTTTCCCCTTAAACCACTCAAGTGTTGCTTTAGCAGTATGCTTAGGGTCATTGTCCTGCTGGAAGGTGAACCTCCGTCCCAGTCTCAAATCTCTGGAAGACTGAAACAGGTTTCCCTCAAGAATTTCCCTGTATTTAGCGCCATCCATCATTCCTTCAATTCTGACCAGTTTCCCAGTCCCTGCCGATGAAAAACATCCCCACAGCATGATGCTGCCACCACCATGCTTCACTGTGGGGATGGTGTTCTCTGGGTGATGAGAGGTGTTGGGTTTGCGCCAGATATAGCGTTTTCCTTGATGGCCAAAAAGCTCAATTTTAGTCTCATCTGACCAGAGTACCTTCTTCCATATGTTTGGGGAGTTTCCCACATGGCTTTTGGTGAACACCAAACGTGTTTGCTTATTATTTTCTTTAAGCAATGGCTTTTTTCTGGCCACTCTTCCGTAAAGCCCTGCTCTGTGGAGTGTACGGCTTAAAGTGGTCCTATGGACAGATACTCCAATCTCCGCTGTGGAGCTTTGCAGCTCCTTCAGGGTTCTCTTTGGTTTCTTTGTTGCCTCTCTGATTAATGCCCTCCTTGCCTGGTCCGTGAGTTTTGGTGGGCAGCACTCTCTTGGCAGGTTGTTGTGGTGCCATATTCTTTCCATTTTTAAATAATGGATTTAATGGTGCTCTGTGGGATGTTCAAAGTTTCTGATATTTTTTTATAACCCAACCCTGATCTGTACTTCTCCACAACTTTGACCCTGACCTGTTTGGAGAGCTCCTTGGTCTTCATGGTGCCGCTTGCTTGGTGGTGCCCCTTGCTTAGTGGTGTTGCAGACTCTGGGGTCTTTCAGAACAGGTGTATATATACTGAGATCATGTGACACTTAGATTACACACAGGTGGACTTTATTTAACTAATTATGTGACTTCTGAAGGTAATTGGTTGCACCAGATCTTATTTAGGGGCTTCATAGCAAATGGGGTGAATACATATGCACGCACCACATTTCTTTTTTATTTTTTTTATTTTTTTTGAATTTCTTGAAACAAGTTATTTTTTTCATTTCACTTCACCAATTTGGACTATTTTGTGTATGTCCATTACATGAAATCCAAAGAAAAATCCATTTAAATTACAGGTTGTAAAGCAACAAAATAGGAAAAACGCCAAGGGGGTTGAATACGTTTGCAAGACACTGTATCTATGAGGATCATTAAGAGCACAAGCTCCAACTAACTGTCATTAATCAATTATTACTATGGGAAAACTATTAAATGACATTGTCCATTGTCCATTTGTCTTCACAATCTAAGACTATAACATGATAGCTACCAATGATCTCTACTCAAGACAATGTGTGTACTTAAGGCATGTTATGGTATATACACTACTGTTCAAAAGTTTGGGGTCACTTAGAAATGTCCTTGTTTTCGAAAGAAAAGCAATTTTTTTGTCCATTAAAATAACATCAAATTGATCAGAAATACAGTGTAGACGTTGTTAATGTTGTAAATGGCTATTGTAGCTGGAAACGGCTGATTTTTAATGGAATATCTACATAGGCGTACAGAGGCCCATTTTCAGCAACCATCAGTCCTGTGTTCCAATGGCACGTTGTGTTTGCTAATCCAAGTTTATCATTTTAAAAGGCTAATTGATCATTAGAAAACCCTTTTGCAATTATGTTAGCACAGCTGAAAAATGTTGTGTACTACTCCCTTCACAGAACAGTGCAAAGTGGCTCTAACCAGAATTGAAAGAGGAGCGGGAGGCCCCAGTGCACAACTGAGCAAGAGGACAAATACATTAGAGTGTCTAGTTTGAGAAACAGACGCCTCACAGGTCCTCAGCTGGCAGCTTAATTAAATAGTACCCGCAAAACACCAGTCTCAACGTCAACAGTGAAGAGGCGACTCCGGGATGCTTACCTTCTAGGTAGAGTTGCAAAGAAAAAGCCATATCTCAGACTGGCCAATAAAAAGGAGGAGTGCTTGATGCCATCTGTCAAGCATGGTGGAGGCAATGTGATGGTCTGGGGGTGCTTTGGTGGTGGTAAAGTGGGAGATTTGTACAGGGTAAAAGGGATCTTGAAGAAGGAAGGCAATCACTCCATTTTGCAACGCCATGCCATACCCTGTGGACGGCACTTGATTGGAGCCAATTTCCTCCTACAACAGGACAATGACCCAAAGCACAGCTCCAAACTATGCAAGAACTATTTAGGGAAGAAGCAGTCAGCTGGTATTCTGTCTATAATGGAGTGGCCAGCACAGTCACCGGATCTCAACCCTATTGAGCTGTTGTGGGAGCAGCTTGACCGTATGGTACGTAAGAAGTGCCCATCAAGCCAATCCAACTTGTGGGAGGTGCTTCAGGAAGCATGGGGTGAAATCTCTTCAGATTACCTCAACAAATTGACAACTAGAATGCCAAAGGTCTGCAAGGCTGTAATTGCTAAAATGGAGGATTCTTTGACAAAAGCAAAGTTTGAAGGACACAATTATTATTTCAATTAAAAATCATTATTTCTAACCTTGTCAATGACTACATTTCCTATGCATTTTGCTATGTTTCCTATTCAAACTCATTTCATGTATGTTTTCATGGAAAACAAGGACATTTCTAAGTGACACCAAACTTTTGAACGGTAGTGTACATATTTTCATAAACTGACCTGTATTGTTCTGTAATGTGATGTCGTGACGTGACTTTAACATTCATCTGAAGACTTATCTCTAATTAACATATTATAACTAACTATGTTTAATTTTAATTAAATCATGTAACAATTAACTCATTAGGATCTGGGGCACCACGAGAGCAGTTCTTTAAAGAGTTACCACCTCCAGAATTAAACTCCAAAAGGTCTTTACCCATCACATCTATAAACAGTCAACTTATTAATCATAACCTTGTATCATATCGTCATTCTGAACAGTCGTAACCTCCTTGCATCTGCAAAAACCCGAGCCTTACTTATGATTCAGTACTACACAAATTAGTTTAATTATTTATTTACTAGCTAATTAAATGGGAACAGAGGATAAACATACACACTCTGCACCGGTTATTGACTGGAGAAAACAGGTCCCTAGCGGAATGACAACAACATGGCTGCTTGTTAAAAATAAGAAATAGAGAGGGAGAGAGAGAGGGACAGAGACATAATACCTTGATACATTAAGAAACTACGCTCACCTACAGTACCCATATACTTTGCACACGAACCGCCGCCCGCTTTGAGTAAGAAATCATGAATGTATTTATGTGAAATGCCTTGGTTCGCCAGGAATCTCTCGGTGAACCGGACCGCCTTGGAAGGGGGGTGGGTCTTTTCACGGCACGCTTGTAAGTCTCTTATTGTCTGAAATGGTTCCAACAGTCTTCTACTGTTGTGTTTCTTTGTAGTTGTCCGGTCTCCGATAACTTGTCATTTAGTCCTGAACAGAACTACAGAATTGATTTTCCTTCCATTCGCTCTTGAAGTTGCTTCTTTGAAGATAGGCTAGCCAGCCGTATCGATGGTTCCCCAGTGGGGTGATGAGAGTAGCGTAATACGACAGTTTGAGAAGAGTAGCAGATGGTCCTACTTAAATTCACTTTCGAAGATACCTTACTTAGTTTCTTTTCTTCACCTCGTGTTGAGATTTTCTGGTCTGATGTGTTTTTTCTTTAACCCATCATTAATACACTTTGGCCGAAAGGGGCGGTTCTGGCAGGCAGGCATGCATTCTGACCTCACTTTGGGCGGTGACTACTAACTGTGCAAAGTTATGAAAAACAATTATCTCTTATAACTTCTCAAATCACATCCCTCTTTTAACAAAAACACGTTCATCATTTTTCATATTACATGCACAACGCATAGTATGGCAATGTCAAATATGTAGTGGGTATACTTTCCAAGTTACAGTATTTCCTTTATGACATTTTTAATGACATCACAAAATAACAAAATGATATTAATGTTCTATAGATCGCCTCCGACCATTCCCCACGTTCTACGTTTGAAATATTGTTCCAGTTTTCTCTGTTGAACGTGTTAGAGTTTCAGCTGGAAAAAGTATGTTGAAACAAAGACATTCCTTTGGTGAATCTTGAGGAGAGAGAGAGAGATCTTCTTCCCTTGAGAGGGGGTCTGATTGAAGTTATTCATCGCAAACCTGATCTGACCTATTTGGATTCTCGTGGACAGTCATGACAGTGATCTATCATAGGAATAAAACAATAAAAAAATAAACATTTAACAATGTTAAACAGCTAATATCAATGTGATGTCATTGAAAATCCTTTTGATACCGGCTACAGATGTCTTTTTACTTTCATGGCATTATAGACAGTTTGGGTTTGATGATTACTCTGTCCAGAGCTGTGACTTGAATGAAATGGCACCTCATTATTTATGTAGTGCACTACTTTTGACCAAGGCTCATAGGGCTCTCGTCAAAATTAGTACACTATATGGAATAGGGTGCCATTTGGGACGCAACCTGAATGTGGCTTTAACTGACTGAGGAGATTAATCAGGGCAGGAGCGCGTTTACCATAGACCGATGGTGTTGGTGTTGGTGTTTACCATAGACCGATGGTGTTGGTGTTGGTGTTTACCATAGACCGATGGTGTTGGTGTTGGTGTTTACCATAGACTGATGGTGTTGGTGTTGGTGTTTACCATAGACCGATGGTGTTGGTGTTGGTGTTTACCATAGACCGATGGTGTTGGTGTTGGTGTTTACCATAGACCGATGGTGTTGGTGTTGGTGTTTACCATAGACCGATGGTGTTGGTGTTTACCATAGACCGATGGTGTTGGTGTTGGTGTTTACCATAGACCGATGGTGTTGATGTTTACCATAGACCGATGGTGTTGGTGTTGGTGTTTACCATAGGCCGATGGTGTTGGTGTTGGTGTTTACCATAGACCGATGGTGTTGGTGTTGGTGTTTACCATAGACCGATGGTGTTGGTGTTTACCATAGGCCGTTGGTGTTGGTGTTTACCATAGACCGATGGTGTTGGTGTTTTTGAGGTATGTGTGCCTGCCGTTTCATTTTTAGTGTCTGCAATAGAAAATCACACATTTGTTTGCACTGAAATTACTGTCTATATGAAATAAATTATTTAATCATGTCCGTGCAAGTGTGCTATGTTTAATTCTAAGAGATTTCCCTTAAAAAGCGAGCTACCTCACCAGCTGAGATGTTGTAGTATGAGACCAGTTTTTATTGCCAGTAAATACCACGTGTTGTATTGTGTTGATCTGTATGCTGTTGAGTTCTGTCACTGGGTGGCAGTGTTCTATCAGTCTTTCCAATCAAAGCTCTGGCCTTGATCAACTCAGAGATTCAAATAATCAATATTTGCCTCTGCATTGTATTTCCCTGCACTTTGGAATTTGGAAATTGGCCAACCACTTAGAAATACAAACGACAAGCGTATTCCTCTTGTAGGATACCATAGTTTCTTATCAGAGAAGACATGGGGAATCAATTAATAATTCAATGCTTGATTGATCCCTTTGTATAATCATCTGATAGTATAGAAGTGTTATCCATCAATGACCAAGTTATCTAATCAATGATCAACTCATGATCATCAACTCCAGCAAAACATTACACAGAGACGAGAGCAACGCCACACCTCTCTGTGTCCAATCTGAGCTCCACCCATGTTGCTACTTTCACGCTGTCATCTGATACAAAATAACATAAAAGGGAGGGCAGTGTTTGCATGGAGGAGGGCGTGTGGGTGTGTTTGTTTCGGGGCGGGTGTATGTGTGTGTGTGTGTGTGTGTGTGTGTGTGTGGAGGGTGTGTGTGGAGTTAGCTGAAACTATGAGAGATGCAGCTGAAACGCTCACATAGTTGAGGTGTGGCTTATTAGAGGCTCCAGGAACTAACTCGGGTTAGCCAGAGGCAGACAGAGTAGAACAGAACAGGGTACCAGGAAGGAACTAACAGGTTAGCCAGAGGCAGACAGGGCAGAACAGAACAGGGTTCCAGGAAGGAACTAACAGGTTAGCCAGAGGCAGAGGGAGCTATGGCAGACACAGAACTCAAACCACAGTCAGAACCAGACCAGAAACTCTGCTGCACCGTGTGTTCCGGTGCTCTCAAGGGTGATAACTCCGCTACCTGTGGCCACTCAGTCTGTGCCTCCTGCCTGGGGAAGAAAGGTAAGGCCTGCCTCCAGTGTCTACAATGCTCTGACAAGCCTAAACCGGCACCTGTGGAACAGAATGGAACGATGAATGGAATAGTGGCTGAGTCTCCACCGGTGATCAAAACCAAAGAAAATGAGAAAAAGGACATACAAACCCAGAATTCAAAGACAGCAGAGGAGGCAAAGATACAGGAAGACCTGAAGGAATCAGAGGACCCTAAGAAACCAGAGGAGGTAAAGATACAGGAAGATAAAGGGAGTGACCCTCCACAGCCTGCAGAGGAAGTGAAAGAGGATGTGGGGGTTGGGGTGAAAGAGAAATTAAAAGAGAAATCAAAGGAAGAGATGAAAGTAGAGCCATTGGGGTCCGATGATGTTGTGTGTGACTCATGTATGGAGACGAGCCCGTGCAGCGCCCTCAAGTCTTGCCTCACATGCCTCGTGTCCTACTGCGAGGACCACCTTAGACCTCACCTGGAGAACTCCAAGTTCCAGAACCACAGGCTGGTGGAGCCGCTGAGGGACATCGAGAGACGGACCTGTGAGACCCACAAGTGGCCCCTGGACCTGTTCTGCTGTGCCGATGCTGTGTGTGTCTGTCAGGACTGTGTGACAGAGGACCACAGGGGACACAACACTGTCGCTGTGGTAGAGGCACGCAAAACCATTGAGGTATTGCACTTTCTCTCTTCTGCGTGCATGCTTTCCCCCTCTCTCTTACTCTCTCCCTTTCTCTCTCCCTTTCTCTCTCTCAGTTTCTCTGTCTCTCACTCTCACATTCTTTGATACACATGCAAACAAACATTTGCATAGATTTGATATCTAAAGAAAACACCTTGTGCATAGGTCCACAACATTCTCAAATTACAGAACACCATATCAATTGTGTGGCGTTGTTATACATGAAAATTGGCCACCTCATGTTTGTAAGTAAAGAGTCACCTCTAGTCACCTCTAGCACTCCAGCCGGTGTGGAAGTGACCAGTCTGAAACATCCCACTATATTTCATTAGCCCATACATTTACCACAGGCTATAGCCTACATAGATTTTATTTTGTAAAATGTTTTATTACATTTTTTTTACCCCCTTTTCTCCACAATTTCATGATATCTGTAGGGTAGCACCATTGTGTAGCCAGAGGACAGCTAGTTTGAACAGTTTTAAACAAATTAATTTATTCAAAAATGAAGGAAACGCAAGAGCGAGAGAGAGAGTTAGCTATATTTCGTTATTTTTTTTCACGTTCACTTTCACTTAGCTAGCGAACGCAGCTAGCTGGTTTAATCTACATAAACCCCTGGCTCAAACAGAGGGATGCTATGTTAGCTAGCTGGCTATGGCTATCCAACACCAGAACTCTTCCAAGTCAAGGTAAGCTTTTGGTTTTATTAATTAATTGCCACCGGGGCCTGCCAGTGTAACTGCTAAACTGCTTGCTGACTCTACACTGCATGAATGTAACGGGTTTATTAACGCGTTAGTTCTAGTAGCTATGTTGACTAGAATGACGTTAGCTAATATGATGACAACAATGTAGGCTGTGTGTAGCGGTTAGCGGTTATGATATGAAGGTTTGAGTATCATGTACAGTAGTAGCCTAAACCTATCGATTTTACAGTGAGCTGGATTAATGGAATATGAATGCCAGTTATCCAATATACTGTAATAGAAATAAGGCCATGCTCATAAAAAGAAAAAAATTGTCCTCCCTCATCTTAAACGTCACCGACCACCACTGGTTCACATTTACGCCGGCACACACAGTACAGACACTTTCACTCTCCTGCTTATTTGAAATAAACAAAACAGTGCTTCAGACGGAGTTTGACCAAAGGTCCTTCACTCCAGTTCATAAAAGGAACAGAACAATTCATCGGATGGGGCTTCACCAAATTCCTTCACCCCCAACTCATATAGAATGAGACAAAATCTTTCAGACACTTTCACTATCCTGCTTATATGAAATTATATGAAATAAATCCGTGTTCAAGATAGCATGCAAAGGTCATTGCAGGTCTCTGGAGATCTTCACAATTGCTGTAATAATCTGTGCAGAATCTCGAACAGCATTGATCACCATGTACTTTTCATGTAATCTCAACTCAAATCCAGGCCATTTCGTTCTGCTATTAGATGAAGCACAGTATTAACACATTAATCTAAACCAAAAATCAGACATTGTTTTTCCATTGGAATTTGGTTGCGCTTTTAGATGGTTGAAGGCATAGTGATAACACATTGGAAATTCAACCTACTTTTGGCTGTCTTTTTGAGTGAGTGAATATAGGTTGTAATCTCATTGTTCAACATCTCAACTAAATATTACCCAATTATCCACGTTGAAAAGACGTGTTGTGCAGTGACAGAGAAAACCCGTGACCCTCAGGTTCAATCATTAACTCAAACAGAGATCCAGGTTTTAGCTCACATCTGTTATTTGCAAATGAGCTGTTGTTGCAAAACTTTAAAATTATGACTCCCATAGCTAAACCAAGGAATGTTTGAAAAACCCATACGGTATTGACAATAGTCATGCAACAACTCAATTACTATCAGCTGAATCCTTGGTAATTCACATGTAGATACAATAAGCTCACGTGCTGAGCTAAACTCAAGGTATGACTGAGGAGGGAAGGCTACTCTTCACCTAGAGTTCTTCTTGTGTGTTCACAAGCAAATACCTCTTTTGAGGAACTACATCACTCAGAATGGAATGTCAAAGGCGTTGTTTGATCTAATCTGACTGACGCATTGTTGAACAGGCAGCTTGTCTGTGTTGATCCAGGATAATCTACAACACTACAGGATATGCCATTTCTCCAGACTTATCCAAACCTCTTTGTTACTGTTTAATGCTGGCTCAGGGAACATCAAAACAAGATCATTCTGTTGACATTCAGTTTACACACACGATTTGGGTCTCAGTTTCCCTTCAAGGGTTCTCACTGTTGTCTCACTGAGCATAACGGCATTTACATTTACAAGACACAACATATGAATAGTTATAAGTAATGTTTTGTGATGTGAGATATTTGTCTCTGTGCCAAATTATGAATACAGGATAATAAGTATAATTAACATTCACGCGTCATCTACAAATTGTTTAAGCCCAAACAGGTCAAACGGCTTTGTTGTTCCGCTCTGTAGAAGAAGATATGTGTCTTTTCAGAGCAATGAGAGCGTGCTCAGACCAGAACAAGAAGTGAGGGAAGGACACAAGCTGTTGAGTGAGTAGCCTGGTCCCAGATCTGTTTGTGTTGTTTTGCTCTGTCATTGATTATGACCATAGGGAATAAGGAGTTGGCAAGACAGCACAAACAGATCTGGGATGAGGCTAGCTCTTAAATGGCTGAGGAATATGGAAATGCTACAGTGGCTTGCGAAAGTATTCACCCCCCTTGGCATTTTTCCTATTTCGTTGCCTTACAACCTGGAATTAAAATTGATTTTTTTCGGGGGGTTTGCCATTTCATTTACACAACATGCCTACCACTTTGAAGATGCAAAATAAGAAATAAGACAAAAAAAACAGAAAACTTGAGCATGCATAACTATTCACCCCCCCAAAGTCAATACTTTGTAGAGCCACCTTTTGCAGCAATTACAGCTGCAAGTCTCTTGGTGTATGTCTCTATAAGCTTGGCACATTCTTCAAGGCAAAACTGCTCCAGCTCCTTCAAGTTGGATGGGTTCCGCTGGTGTATAGCAATCTGTAAGTCATACCACAGATTCTCAATTTGATTGAGCTCTGAGCTTTGACTAGGCCATTCCAAGACATTTAAATGTTTCCCCTTAAACCACTCAAGTGTTGCTTTAGCAGTATGCTTAGGGTCATTGTCCTGCTGGAAGGTGAACCTCTGTCCCAGTCTCAAATCTCTGGAAGACTGAAACAGGTTTCCCTCAAGAATGTCCCTGTATTTAGCGCCATCCATCATTCCTTCAATTCTGACCAGTTTCCCAGTCCCTGCCGATGAAAAGCATCCCCACAGCATGATGCTGCCACCACCATGCTTCACTGTGGGGATGGTGTTCTCGGGGTGATGAGAGGTGTTGGGTTTGCGCCAGACATAGCGTTTTCCTTGATGGCCAAAAAGCTCAATTTTAGTCTCATCTGACCAGAGTACCTTCTTCCATATGTTTGGGGAGTCTCCCACATGCCTTTTGGCGAACACCAAATGTGTTTGCTTATTTTTTTCTTTAAGCAATGGCTTTTTTCTAGCCACTCTTTTGTAAAGCCCAGCTCTGTGGAGTGTACGGTTTAAAGTGGTCCTATGGACAGATACTCCAATCTCCGCTGTGGAGCTTTACAGCTCCTTCAGGGTTATCTTTGGTGTCTTTGTTGCCTCTCTGATTAATGCCCTCCTTGCCTGGTCCGTGAGTTTTGGTGGGTGGCCCTCTCTTGGCAGGTTTGTTGTGGTGCCATATTCTTTCCATTTTTTTAATAATGGATTTAATGGTGCTCTGTGGGATGTTCAAAGTTTCAGATATTTTTTTATAACCCAACACTGATCTGTACTTCTCCACAACTTTGTCCCTGACCTGTTTGGAGAGCTCCTTGGTCTTCATGGTGCCGCTTGCTTGGTGGTGCCCCTTGCTTAGTGGTCTTGCAGACTCTGGGGCCTTTCAGAACAGGTGTATATATACTGAGATCATGTGACAGATCATGTGACACTTAGATTGCACACAGGTGGACTATATTTAACTAATTATGTGACTTCTGAAGGTAATTAGTTACACCAGGTCTTATTTAGGGGCTTCATAGCAAAACGGGGTGAATACATATGCACAGACCACTTTTCCATTATTTATTTTTTAGAATTTCTTGAAACAAGTTATTTTTTTCATTTCACTACACCAATTCGGACTATTTTGTGTATATCCATTACATGAAATCCAAATAAAATCAATTTAAATTACAGGTTGTAAATGCAACAAAATAGGAAAAACGCTAAGGGGCATGAATACTTTTGCACATTCACTGTATGTCTGGCGCAAACCCAACACCTCTCATCACCCCGAGAACACCATCCCCACAGTGAAGCATGGTGGTGGCAGCATTATGCTGTGGGGATATTTTTCATCGGCAGGGACTGGGAAACTTGTCAGAATTGAAGGAATGATGGATGGCGCTAAATACAGGGAGATTTTTAAGGGAAACCTGTTTCAGTCTTCCAGAGATTTGAGACTGGAACGAAGGTTCACCTTCCAGCAGGACAATGACCCTAAGCATACTGCTAAAGCAACACTTGAGTGGTTTAAGGGGAAACATTTAAATGTCTTGGAATGGCCTAGTCAAAGCTCAGAGCTCAATCAAATTGAGAATCTGTGGTATGACTTACAGATTGCTATACACCAGCGGAACCCATCCAACTTGAAGGAGCTGGAGCAGTTTTGCCTTGAAGAATGGGCAAAAATCCCAGTGGCTAGATGTGCCAAGCTTATAGAGACATACCCCAGGAGACTTGCAGCTGTAATTGCTGCAAAAGGTGTTGTTTTGTCTTATTTCTTGTTTGTTTCACAATAAAAAATATGTTGCATCTTCAAAGTGGTAGGCATGTTGTGTAAATCAAATGATACAAATCCCAAAAAAATCTATTTTAATTCCAGGTTGTAAGACAACAACATAGGAAAAATGCCAAGGGGGGTGAATACTAACGCAAGCCACTGTATGCATTGTTACTTGTATCATTATTGTTGTAGTCCTTCAACCAATTATTTTATGCAACGGGCTTAACCCAGAAGCCAGCCACACCAATGTGTCGGAGGAAACACTGTTCAATTGACGACCGAAGTCAGCCTGCAGGCGCCCCGGCCCGACACAAGAAGTCACTAGAGCGCGATGAGCCAAGTAAAGCCCCACCTAACCCAGATGACGCTGGGCCAATTGCGCCGCCCTATGGGACTCCCGGTCACGGCCGGTTATGACACAGCCACAACACTGCGATGCAGTGCCTTAGACCGCTGCGCCACTTGGGAGGCCCCTGCAACCAATTCTAACAGTAAACCAATAGCATATATAACCCATTGGAGATATACCCTTCAGTCTCTCCAGGATTTAGGACTTTCTTTTCTGAACTTAATCCGCGGACAGGGTTTAGCAGCTTTCACAGGTCTCTGTATCTGAGGTTAGGAAACATAGAAATTAGACCAAGACTTGCTTCATTATTTTCAAGTGATATAACATTTAATATTTCATTGCAATTGTGTTTTTGTATTGTCACTGTTCTCTCTTTATGACTGGACATCTGTTCATTAGCTAGCTGGCTTAGCTACTAGCAAGGTATCTAACATACATTTTAGTTGTTTTTAGCAGATCAAGCTAATTTTTGTGTCATTAAAAAAACGAATATCCTATTTATATGTAGCTAGCTAGCTGACGTTACCTAGAATAGATGGTTCACTTGATAAACAACTTACCCGTGTGCTACACATCATCCTGGCACCGCCCACCTCCTGCTCCTAGCGTTACAATCCATGCTGGCAATGCAGCCCGCTGCAATGGAACGGCAACAAACATGTGGTTTCCATTTGTTTGATGTGTTTGATACCGTTCCATTTATTCCATTCCAGCCACTACAATGAGCCCATCCTCCCATAGCTCTTCCCACCAGCCTCCTCTGGTACAGATATAAATTCTAGCATGAGTAGCAGTTGCAACTCAAGAGTCACTCGGACCTTCCTAAGGAATTCAGGCCCTAGCTATACTGAAACACAATGAATCAAACTGTAGTGAATCAGATCCCTTCCCTGAAAACCACAATAGAATAACATAGAAATCAGATCATATCTGACAATAGAGAAACAGACAGGAAAACGCACTGTTCCTGTGACTAAGCTGTATTGTAAACGTTTAGATAAATTGGTCAAATAAATGAGTTGAACAGAATTGTTCAAATAAGGCATAGCTTCAGCATGACAACAATTTGACTATAATGTGTGCAGTCATTGAATTTTCCTCTCCTTCTTCCTGTCTTTCTTCCTGACAGAGGGAACTACAAGATAAGCAAACGGAGATGGAGAAGACAGTGACAGCAGCAGAGAAAGCCATCAACAAACTCCAAGTCAACACTGTCTCCATTGAGGTACAGTAGGCTGCAGTGCCCTTCTTGTTACATGTTTAAAGGATGATGTCAAAGGCTGATAGCTCTGTGACTGCTGAAGTGCTGAGTAGCATCACTTCAGCCGAGTGACAAAACAGAGGAATGTCAAAACATTTTACAAGCAGTAAAAAAAATATTGATGAAAGAGCTAGAACCACCCACCCCAACTTGACAGGTTTACCCAGGTGTGGTAAAAGGAATTCATTTGTTTGGGGTTTGGCGCCATGCCGTGTAGCATTCCTTGGCCCCAGAGATTGATTGTGTAAGCAGACAGTCAATACCTGAAGCACAGACACCTTTATGGGACGATGCGGACTCTGAGGAAACACACATGCCAGCACTCTACACACACGTATGCATGGTGGTGTTATAAATGTTGTATTGTAGATATGTAGTGGTGTAATAATATTATATGTACTGTTTTATTTTATTTTAGCCTTAATTAGTTTGGACCCCAGGAAAATATAATTACAAGAACGGACAAAGCCACTTCAATCAGACCACTGTCTGTCTGTCTGTCTGTCTGTCTGTCTGTCTGTCTGTCTGTCTGTCTGTCTGTCTGTCTGTCTGTCTGTCTGTCTGTCTGTCTGTCTGTCTGTCTGTCTGTCTGTCTGTCTGTCTGTCTGTCTGTCTGTCTGTCTGTCACCTCAGCCCCTATATCTGAATATACTGTACCTAGTGTGTACACAGTTATGAAACTGTCCTGAAAACATCTCTGGCATCTCCCATATCTCCCCCATCCCCATATCTCCCCCATCTCCCCCATCCCCATATCTCCCCCATCCCCATATCCCCATATCTCCCCCATTCCCCTATGCCCATATCTCCCTATGCAGAATTCAGTGACAGAGGTCCGTGAGGTGATCGAGAACCAGTTTACGAAGCTCCAGGCTGCGGTGGAGCGGGCCAAGAGAGAGGTAATCCTATTTATTGATGAAGTGAAATGCCTAGCTGTTGTATATTTAGGCTGATCTATTCTTTTTACCTGCTTTAAAAAAAAAATACATATTGTATGATATCACATTTGATGTATGTTTTATGCACTGTATGTTTTTTGTTATGTTTATTTCTGCACAACCTGCATATAAACCAAGATTTTCAAATAAACTTTAAACCTGGACCTAAAGGTGACGGAGATCCTGGAGGGAGAGGAGAAGCAGGCTTTGAGACAGGCCGAGGGGATCAAGGTACACCTGGAGCAGAGGTGCACTGAGCTGAAGAAGACACAGTCTCAGGTGGAGAAGCTCTACAAGAAAAAGAATGACGTGGACTTCTTACAGGTAAGTTCTTACTTGGTCTGGTGGTTTTATGATGGATTGAGACTGAGATGGAGGCGGTGTCAAGTCAGTCGTTTTATTCACTGACCTAAGGTGGTTCTCATGGTGGTTGGTTTTGAAGTAGTTTCGGCACATACAGTAGCCTAACTTAACAGGTACAACATCTATTTGGTGGTTAACCATGGACTCTGATAAAGGTTGTTGTGCCACTCATTAGGGTTATTCACTGACCTAAGGTGGTTCTCATCAACCTTGACACAAGCCACAGTGCTGCTATCATACGTATTCACTTTAATCATGAAACATGACTGAGGTGGACTCTCCTATAGGTAAGATGGTTTTCTCTGGTCTGGTGGATTCGGTGTTGGTTGTGTTGTGGTGTCGGACATTGCCAAGTGACTCAATAGTGTTATTAACAAACCTGAGCTGCGTATGTGCTGCTCTCTTCACTGAAACATGATTAAAGTAGAAACCAGTCGAGGCTGGTGGGAGGAGCTATAGGAAGAGGGGCTCCTTGTAATGGTAACAAACACATCAAACATATGGAAACCACGTTTGACTCCATTCCTTTTATTCCATTCCAGCCATTACAGAGAGCCTGTCCTCCTATAGCTCCTCCCACCAGCCTCCACAGGTAGAAACTAACCTAATGTTTTACCCGAGCCATGTTTTATCATTAGTATTCACTCAGGTTGCCATTAACAATAAGTAAGTAAGCCTTGGACAAGTAAGCCTTGTCCGAGCCAGAACAGCCCATAGGGGCAGGCACCTATCACCTGTTTCTGTAGTGTGAGGCAGCTTGATGTACAAGTACACCCCCTGGACAGGACGCCATTAACGATACTTCATCAGTCATTTCCAACTGGGTAGAAAATAGTGAACGGGGATGTGTTGTGTGTTTTACAGGAGTACTCCGAGTGGAAGAAGGACAGCTCCGACTTCACCCTACCTGGGGTCTACATCGGCCTCATGGACCAGCTCAACTCCTTCAGCAGAGAGATTGTTACCTCCACACAGGAGCTGTGTGAGATGCTGCTGTCCAACTACATAGAGACACTCAAAGCGACCTGCAAACATGGTGAGTGCAGTCACCATCTGGTTGGCAGAGGCAAACTGCCATAGTGGCTGGCGGCAAGCCTCTGCCAGTCTCACACGATTGTGGTAAAAAGACAGATTACATTTGAGTCATTTAGCAGACGCTCTTATCCAGAGCGACTTACAGTTAGTGAGTGCATACATTATTTTTTATACTGGCCCCCCATGGGAATCGAACACACAACCCTGGCGTTGCAAACGCCATGCTCTAACAACTGAGCTACATCCCTGCCGGCCATTCCCTCCCCTACCCTGGACGACGCTGGGCCAATTGTGCGCCGTCCCATGGGTTTCCCGGTCGCGGCCGGCTACGACAGAGCCTGGATTCGAACCAGGATCTCTAGTGGCACAGCTAGCACTGCGATGCAGTGACTTAGACCACTGCGCCACTCGGGAGGCTATGCTTGCGGTTGCGGTTCAGGCATCCCTCACGCTGGTCACAGAGAAACATAGAAAGTAGAGAGGAAGTGATGGTGTGTTAGGAGGAAGAACAACACCTGAGCTTTGTTCCCCAGATACAAAGAGAATCTATGGACTCCCTACCTGGGTGTGTTTAAACTTGTCTACAGACCTGAGGTATCCTTCAGACAGTTTTCATATGTGTAGAGCCCTTGTTACAACTGGTAGACTGAAGTAGACTGGTAGACTGGAGTAGACTGGTAGACTGGAGTAGACTGGTAGACTGGTAGACTGGAGTAGACTGGTAGACTGGTAGACTGGAGTAGACTGGTAGACTGGAGTAGACTGGTAGACTGGAGTAGACTGGTAGACTGGAGTAGACTGGTAGACTGGTAGACTGGAGTAGACTGGAGTAGACTGGAGTAGACTGGAGTAGACTGGAGTAGACTGGTAGACTGGTAGACTGGAGTAGACTGGAGTAGACTGGTAGACTGGAGTAGACTGGTAGACTGGAGTAGACTGGTAGACTGGAGTAGACTGGTAGACTGGTAGACTGGTAAGACTGAGTAGACTGGTAGACTGGAGTAGACTGGTAGACTGGAGTAGACTGGTAGACTGGTAGCTGGAGAAACTGGTCACTGGTAGACTGGAGTAGACTGGTAGACTGGAGTAGACTGGTAGACTGGTAGACTGGAGTAGACTGGTAGACTGGAGTAGACTGGTAGACTGGAGTAGACTGGTAGATGGAGACTGGAAGTAGACTGGTAGACTGGTAGACTGGAGAAAGAACTGGTAGACTGGAGTAGACTGGTAGACTGGTAGACTGGAGTAGACTGGTAGACTGGAGTAGACTGGTAGACTGGAGTAGACTGGAGTAGACTGGTAGACTGGAGTAGACTGGTAGACTGGAGTAGACGGAGACTGGAGTAGACTGGTAGACTGGTAACTGGAGTAGACTGGTAGACTGGTAGACTGGAGTAGACTGGTAGACTGGTTAGACTGGAGTAGACTGGTAGACTGAGTAGACGGTAGACTGGAGTAGACTGGTAGACTGGAGTAGACTGGAGTAGACTGGTAGACTGGAGTAGACTGGTAGACTGGAGTAGACTGGTAGACTGGTAGACTGGAGTAGACTGGTAGACTGGAGTAGACTGGTAGACTGGTAGACTGGAGTAGACTGGTAGACTGGAGTAGACTGGTAGAACTGGAGTAGACTGGTAGACTGGAGTAGACTGGTAGACTGGTAGACTGGAGTAGACTGGTAGACTGGAGTAGACTGGTAGACTGGAGTAGACTGGGTAGACTGGAGTAGACTGGAGTAGACTGGTAGACTGGAGTAGACTGGTAGACTGGAGTAGACTGGTAGACTGGAGTAGACTGGAGTAGACTGGAGTAGACTGGTAGACTGGAGTAGACTGGAGTAGACTGGAGTAGACTGGTAGACTGGAGTAGACTGGTAGACTGGAGTAGACTGGTAGACTGGAGTAGACTGGAGTAGACTGGAGTAGACTGGAGTAGACTGGTAGACTCAGAGAGATAAAAATAGTTAAGAGCCTCTAATCTAGGGCTGTCCTTCGCTAGAGGGAAACCCAGCTGTGAGCAGGGTGAGTCACCAGTTTGAGTGTCATGGGGGATGTCGTCATTGTAATACTATGTAGCAATGTGTTCTTTCTTTCTTCAAAAAATAAATGGCTACAATCAAATTAAAACTTCATGCTTGTGAGTTAAAAAAGTGAAGTAGGCTAATGTGATTATTTATGACCATAAAACATGTTATATTTCTCTCTCTCTACTCTTCAGTAGAGTTATATTAGATAGAGAGAGAAACATAGAAATAAGAGAGGAAGTGATGGTGTGTTAGGAGAAAGAACAACACCTGACCTTTGTTCCCCAGATACAAAGAGAATCTATGGACTCCCTACCTGGGTGTGTTTAAACTTGTCTACAGACCTGAGGTATCCTTCAGACAGTTTTCATATGTGTAGAGCCCTTGTTACAACTGGTAGACTGAAGTAGACTGGTAGACTGGAGTAGACTGGTAGACTGGAGTAGACTGGTAGACTGGAGTAGACTGGTAGACTGGAGTAGACTGGTAGACTGGTAGACTGGAGTAGACTGGTAGACTGGTAGACTGGAGTAGACTGGTAGACTGGTAGACTGGAGTAGACTGGTAGACTGGAGTAGACTGGTAGACTGGTAGACTGGAGTAGACTGGAGTAGACTGGTAGACTGGTAGACTGGAGTAGACTGGTAGACTGAAGTAGACTGGTAGACTGGAGTAGACTGGTAGACTGGTAGACTGGAGTAGACTGGAGTAGACTGGAGTAGACTGGTAGACTGGAGTAGACTGGTAGACTGGTAGACTGGTAGACTGGAGTAGACTGGTAGACTGGAGTAGACTGGTAGACTGGTAGACTGGAGTAGACTGGTAGACTGGAGTAGACTGGTAGACTGGAAGACTGGTAGACTGGAGTAGACTGGTAGACTGGAGTAGACTGGTAGACTGGAGTAGACTGGTAGACTGGAGTAGACTGGTAGACTGGAGTAGACTGGTAGATGAGTAGACTGGGGGTAGACTGGAGTAGACTGGTAGACTGAAGTAGACTGGTAGACTGGAGTAGACTGGTAGACTGGAGTAGACTGGTAGACTGGTAGACTGGAGTAGACTGGTAGACTGAAGTAGACTGGTAGACTGGAGTAGACTGGTAGACTGGAGTAGACTGGTAGACTGGTAGACTGGAGTAGACTGGTAGACTGGAGTAGACTGGTAGACTGGAGTAGACTGGTAGACTGGTAGACTGGTAGACTGGAGTAGACTGGTAGACTGGAGTAGACTGGTAGACTGGAGTAGACTGGTAGACTGGAGTAGACTGGTAGACTGGTAGACTGGAGTAGACTGGTAGACTGGTAGACTGGAGTAGACTGGTAGACTGGAGTAGACTGGTAGACTGGAGTAGACTGGAGTAGACTGGTAGACTGGTAGACTGCAGTAGACTGGAGTCAGAGAGATAAAAATAGTTAAGAGCCTCTAATCTAGGGCTGTCCTTCGCTAGAGGGAAACCCAGCTGTGAGCAGTGTGAGTCACCAGTTTGAGTGTCATGGGGGATGTTGTCATTGTAATACTATGTAGCAATGTGTTCTTTCTTTCTTCAAAAAATAAATGGCTACAATCAAATTAAAACTTCATGCTTGTGAGTTAAAAAAGTGAAGTAGGCTAATGTGATTATTTATGACCATAAAACATGTTCCATTTCTCTCTCTCTCTCTACTCTTCAGACATGATGGGGATTAAAACGACAGTCCATGAAATAATTGCAGCCAAACAGAACATGGATGTTCCAGACCCAAAGACGCGGGATGACTTTCTAAAATGTGAGTGTCTTCTATCGTATTGAGGTCATCCATACAGAAACAAAACAATGCTTCAAATCACTTGAATATATCACGGTAGTACTTCAAGGTTATCATAATATTCTGTAGAAAATCCTTGTATAGCGTAATTGTTGTTTTTGAATCTGTAAAGTTGGCCTTGCCTAAGCTGTTGATTCTGCTCTGCTTTTCTCATGTTCTGTTATGTTGTTCTCTCTCACGCTGTGCAGATGCCAATCCCGTGAGTTTTGACGCAGACACGGCCCATAAGTTCCTGCGTCTGACTGAAGAAAACAGGAAGGTGACCAACACCACACCCTGGCAACACCCGTACCCCGATGTCCCTGAACGCTTTGAGAACTGGCGCCAGGTACTGGCCACAGAGAGCTTCTATGTCGGCCGACACTACTTCGAGGTGGACGTGAGCGGTGAGGGCACGCATGTTGGACTCACCTACAAGAGCATCGACCGCAAGGGTTCGGAAAGTAACAGCTGCATCACCGGCAATGACTTCTCATGGTGCCTCCAATGGAACGGACGTACCTTCTCTGCCTGGCACGGTGATGTGGAGACACCTCTGGGACTGGACAAGTTCACACGTATTGGGGTCTACGTGGACTACAGCCGTGGCTTACTGGCTTTCTATGGGGTGGATGACGCCGTCGGCATGACCCTCATCCACAAATACAAGGCTGCGTTTCTGGAGCCCCTCTACCCAGCCTTCTGGCTGTCGAAGAAGGAGAATGTGGTACTGCTTGTTGGACCTGGAGAGCCATTGCCACTGAAAAGCTCCTCTCCCTCTAAAACACCTCCAAACACTGATGTAGCACCCCTCAGCCGTTTCACAGTAACTCCTGTTGTTGAACAGTGATCAATTTGTCGGTGGTCAGTTTTCTCTGTCAAGCCTGAGAAGATTTAGAATGCAAGAAGCAATGGAAAAATAAACATAAATCCTCATAAGGTGACAAGAAACCTCACTAGATCTGGAAATTACTTTTCTAAATGAAAGTTGAATATTTGTTATATATTTCCAGAGAGTATATTAGTTGTTCTTACTCTTGTTGTATGAATAATCTTGGCACAATGTCAATGGTTAGGTTACCTCTAATGTGATGGCTCACTTTCTATTTATATTATTGTTAAAATCTGACGCAAAATAGTTTTGACACTGTGACTAATCGAATGGTGGACTTCTTTGGTAAACTTTGCGACTGCTGCACTGTGACTTTGAAATGTAATGTATTTGAGAGATACCACTATAAATAAAATAAAATACAGTTGTATTTGTCGCATGCTTGGTATTTGTCACATGCGTCGTAAAATGGTATGTGTCACATGCTCTGCAGACTAACAGTGACGTGCGGGGAGCGGGAACGGGCCGGGCCGGGCCGGACAAGAGTCCCATAAGTCAGGGCGTGACACTTACTTACAGGTTCTTTTCCAACAATGTAGAGTTTTTAAAAAAGATATACCAAATTTAAATAGTGAATAATGAATAACAATAACGAGTAAAAATAACATGGATGTATACAGGAAGTACCAGGTCTGAGTCGATGTGCAGGCGTATGAGGTAATTGAGGCAGCTATGTATTTGGTTTCTCCCATTCTTCTCTGCAGATCCTCTCAAGCTCTGTCAGGTTGGATGGGGAGCGTCGCTTCACGGCTATTTACAGGTCTCTCCAGAGATGTTAGATCGGGTTCAAGTCCGGGCTCTGGCTGGGCCACTCGAGGATCTCTCTGTACTTTGCTCCGTTCATCTTTCCCTCGATCCTGACTAGTCTCCCAGTCCCTGCTGCTGAAAAACAAGCGTACAGTATTATATAGAGCCATTACTGCATGGAACTTCCTTCCATCTCATATTGCTGAAATGAACAGCAAACCTGTTTTAAAAAAACTGATGAAGCAACACCTCACGGCACAACGCCTCTCCCCTATTTCACCTAGATATTGTACGTGTATGTATTGATATGTAGGCTACGTGTGCCTTTTTAAAATTGATGTAGTTCTGTCCTTCATTTCTATTAATGTTCTGTATTATGTCATGTTTCATGTTTTGTGTGGACCCCAGGAAGAGTAGCTGCTGCTTTCGCAACAGCTAATGGGGATCCTAATAAAATTCCAAAATACCTAATTTGTTTGCGGACTGCCATAATACCAAAGAAGAAGATGAAGTGGTGTATGGAAGCGGCTCAAAGTGTTTTGTTGACGTTGCAAGCCACACACAGCTGTTAAAAGCGGGAGACTTCTAGTTAAGGTAAACTGCTTCAAACCTTTATTATTTAATTCATATGAACTTTTACATTTTTACACGTTTACAAGTGTGAGAGAATAATTTTCATAGCCAACCGTCACTTCTTTAGACTCAAAATGCGGTCGTGCATTCCTGTTACCACAGAGTTTCTAAACCCAGAAGTGCAACATTGTGAGACTTCCTGGAAAGCTTGTGAATCAGACCAAACAGACCAGGCCGGGGTTTGGGGTTTGAGAGGTCAATGAGAGAAGTGAAATATTATTCCTTAGTTGTTAATTTTCTCAAAATCTAAAGGCACAACCTAGATTTGAGCCAATGCCTTAAGTAGTTGAACATGTTATTACTCCAACCTCGTGAAAGTGACAAACTGACACATTTTCATTTTTGTCAAAAACAACTTTATATCAAAGGGGTGCCTTTGATTTTACGGCCTGCACATGCGCAGTTCGGCCCGAGACGACCATTAGACCCGATGACGTATTTCTACACATGAGCTTTGCTAGCCAACGTTGCCATGACATGGCCTACAAGTGTGATGAGGGATTTCTATTGGCGAAGCAGTTTTAGCCCATCTTCATACTGTACTGTCTTTGCTGTTACTGCTAGCTAGCTAGTAATAATAATAATAATAATAATAATATGCCATTTAGCAGACGCTTTTATCCAAAGCGACTTACAGTCATGTGTGCATACATTTTTACGTATGGGTGGTCCCGGGCAGTGGCGGCTCCTGAAAAAATTCTCAGGAGGGGCAATTTTTCTGATGATTTAGGTGACCTACACACATTTTAAAAAAGATATGTCCAGCAACAACATGAAGACAGGGGCAGCATATAAATCAATACCAGAAGCATTTATTGACTGATCTGGGGAGATGGATTCCAGTTTCTGTGACAGATTATAAATAATCTCTGATGCCTTTGTTATATTAGCTTTTGGTTGAATGTACTGTCGTAGTAAATATATAATGTTATAGCTTGGTCTGACTAAAATCTTGTGCATGACCCATTTTGTGTTGGCCGTTTGTTTTCAATCAATGCTGTTCCTATCCTATAACAATGGACAAAAGAGTCCTATCTTGTCAGCCTTGTCAGCAGGTGGCCAAGGACAACACCCACGCCATAGGTCTCTCAGTTCTTCCAACTCACGAGTTCTTGCTCTGAGGACACACACACACACACACACACACACACACACACACACACACACACACACACACACATCATCACTGATAACACACACACACACACACACACATCATCACTGTTAAACACACACACACACACACACACAAAAATCCCCTCTCTTTAGGCTGAACATTTGAAGACAGAGAACCCGACTCAGAGCCAATGCAACAGTGGAGGGGACCTCGCCCAACTCATCAGGACCAATCAGAAGATCAGAACTACTAGATTCAACCTACATCATTTATTGTATAAAATGTCTGCACACAATGTTTTCGGGGCTCTCTTCAGATAGCTCCCTAAGAGTTTGACGAACGGGTCCGTGCACGCGATTCCAGATATCTTTACCTCTGAATAAACTGCCTTTATTATACCATATCCACCCTGTCCAAAGTCTCTACTTGGTCTCGGTTCTCCAGTAAACTTGTGATTATCAACAGTACACAACGGTAACAAACAATTGGGAGAACTCACGGGGCAGATAGTAAGGTCGCAGTGACACAGAAAGCAGTTCAATGTCGGGGGTACAGAGTCGCTCTCTTACCAGGATCGCGGTCCGCTCTGACCAGGGTGAAGCCGGCCGGCTCCACTTCTCTGTCCGGGACTCTGTCATCCAGCCAAGTCTCCCAGCTGTATTGGATTCCGCTGCCAGCAGCGTTTTCATTATTTAGTCAGTTCGTAGCGGGTATGTACACGATCAACAAGATCAGTCCAAAACCCACCACTGGAAATCCATGGTTGGCAGAATGTTTGTAAACTAAGTCTACAAATTAAAAACATAAAATAACGCCACACTGCAGGTCGCAACAGAGACGCTGCTAGCCGCTATTTTCTTAGTTACGTTCATGGTTACGTCACGTATGACGAAAGCGCGTAAGTGCAAGCCCACAGACACCCATAGAGAATGTATTGAAAGCTTTGAAATTTGAAAAAAATAGATTTTACATGACAGGCTATGAGAGACTTCTGGGCGATTTTCAACCTAACTGAAATCGCCCCAAAAACGGGCGGGGCCATTTGAAGCACGACTTTAGCCTGATTTGACATTTAGTGGCAGTCAGATCAGATTAGAACACTGATAACTACTGTTGCCGTGATATAATTGATTAGAAAAAAATCCCTTCCTTTTCCCGTTTGGCAGTGCGTCGCCCATATCGCCCTATTGAACAGGCCGTCCCTGGTCCCGGGGATCGAACCCCATTCCTAGATGGTATATTCATATTAGCTAGCTACCGGTATTTACCTGTTACTTTAGCCAGGACTAGCCCTTATTTAATCTGACTAGAGATTAGAATGTGTGTGACCGAGATGCTTTTGTTTACCAGCTCCTTCTTCTAGCTAGAGAGAAGTAACTACATGAGTTACTCTATTAGACTCTATTATTACAAAGTGAGTTACTCTATTATGAGATGCACCCTCTCCTTTCCTCTCTCCCCACTCCTTCCACTAATGTTCTGTCTCATCCCATCATGCCCATCTTCTCTGATCCCTCCTCTCTTCCCTCTCCCAATCTCTCCCAATCCATCTCTTCCCACCCGTTCTTCTACCTCTCTTCTCAACCCCCATGCACTTTTCACCCTCTCACCATTTTTCCTCTATTTATTCAGAGTTGTTCAGGGAGATGAAGATGGTCGTTACCGATCGTTACAGCGACACACTGACCAGCCTCGCCGCGGCAGCACGTGAGGGGGATGTCAGCCGTGTGTTGTCTATGGTCCAGATGGGCCGAAGTGTGGACAGCTGGTGTGACCGTGGCTGGAACACCCTCCATGAGGCTGCAGCCGCCGGCAACACTGAATGTGTACGTGAGCTAATCATTGCTGCTGGTTTGAGATAAGAGAGGGCAGGGAACTTCCTGTCTTTGTCTTTGTATCTGCACCTGGCACCTACAAGTGCATCTCAGTAGTCTAAAGTGGTTGCTCTTTCCATTGGCTCTTTGCAGCAAGCTCCTCCCTCGGTTGCCTTGCCTACGTGAACTCTCGGACAGATGCGGGTCAGTCGGCGCTGTACCTGGCCGCGCAGCATGGACACTTAGACACACACACACACACACACACACACACACACACACACTGTTATGCCATTTAAATCTATATTTAAATGGCTAAAGAATTTAACAGTGCACCAGAAGTACTTGCTACTGTGATTCCTGAAATGCAGAGCCTTTTGGAGTCTTTTTCGAATCCGAAATTATAATGTATATTACATTGTTTGCTAGTTCAGCTGGTTGGCTAGCTGTGTCTAATTGACCACAAACCGTTGCTAACGCTAGCTAGCTAGCCAGCCACTTAATATAACTTAATACACTTAACATGTATGTTGGCTGGCTAAGTTAGTGATGTTATGAATACAACTCCCATCTGCTGTCGACATCAGGATGTGATTTGAGAGCACTAGTTAGCTCCAAAAGTAGTTATAGCTTTGACTGCATGCTGACAGTGAATTCAGAGCCATTCAGTGGCTAGATACGCTACAAACGTCATTTTTCCAGGTTCCTGTGAAGCAATTGTAATGACAGTCCACCACAATATACCCAAGAGCTTCCTGATTAGCAATTGATAGTATGTGTTTAATTTCATGGTGCATTAGAAACACAGTTTGAAATCATTGTGAGGGGATTTCGCCAGTGGTTGAATGGGGAATTGGAGCTTCCCGGGAAAATGTTGTCAGAGGATGCAACAGTAACCAAGGGGGGCGGGGCTTAGCAAAGGGTCAATTGTCACTCAGAGGAGCTGCAGCACGTCCCAAAGGGGCCAGGGTTCCGGTCTAGAAGCATGGTTTCGACTGCTCCTACAGTTTTGCTTCAGTACTGCAGTTTAACAGAAAGACCATTTCCATAAATGGCCACATAGAGAAGTGAGATTTGAAAATTCCTAATAAGACACTTTAGTCATCAACTTTGTGCACAAAACATCCATTTAATTATTCAAATAATTGTTGCTGAGGCTGATTTTTTTTTCATTACTCATTTTATATGAATCCAATGTCTGCCATGTTTTTGAGTGACGTGATGACGTCATCACTGCTCGCGCAGCTCCCTGTGAACACTGAGTGCTACTGATGTTGATCCGGATATAGGCGGTCCGTAAATCGGTGTATGCGAACGTGAGTAGATTACCTTGAAAACAACAGTCGGACATTTGGAAGCAGTCTCCAGTTCTTATTATATCTCAGTGCTACATCTTCCAACACAGGGGCATACCCAGACCAGAGCAGTTGAACAGGAGCATCTCCAGGCCAGAGCAGCAGAGCAAGAGAACGCTAACTCGAGAGGAGTTGTGTGGACTGTTGTGTGAGGTGCTCAGTGTGGTGAACTGCGCCTCCTACTGGCTACCCCCGCTACTACAGGCAGGACTGGAGCCCTCCCTACTGCTGAATCCCACATCTATATTATCCGCCATAATACCAAAGAAGAAGAAGACAAATATTTGTAATTTGTGTAACGTGTCATTCCAGACTTCAATACTGTAGTTTGACGGCGGAATTAAACAACTTTTTTTATTTACTTTTTCACATAACGGTATTTTTTGTGGGGGCAGGATCATTAACAAAGAGTCAACTCGAATGAACTTTGATTGCTTTTATTATAATTTTTACATTGCAAAAAGTGAAAATGATTTTTCATGCCACGAGGGGGTTCTGGAACAAAACAGTCCAAAACGGAGAGGTGCCAGTGTGGTGAACTGCGCCTCCCACTGGCTACCCCCGCTACTACAGGCAGGACTGGAGCCCTCCCTACCGCTGAATCCCACATCTATATGATCCGCCATAATACCAAAGAAGAAGAAGAAGAAGAAGGAAAAATATTTGTAATTTGTGTAACGTGTCCCTACTGCTGCATCCCACATAAACAGTGCCTTCAGAAAGTATTCACACCCCTTGACTTTTTCCACATTTTGTTGTGTTACAGACTGAATTTAAAATAGATTAAATTAGATTTTTTTGTCACTGGTTTACACACAATACCTCATTATGTCAAAGTGGAATTATGTTTTTGGACATTTTTACAAATCAATTAAAAATGAGAAGCTGAAACGTCTTGAGTCAATAAGTATTCAACCCCTTTGTTCTGGCAAGCCTAAATAAGTTCAGGAGTAAAAATGTGCTTAACATTTACATTTACATTTACGTCATTTAGCAGACGCTCTTATCCAGAGCGACTTACATTATATATATTTTTTTTCATACCCCCTGTGGGAATCGAACCCACAACCCTGGCGTTGCAAACACCATGCTCTATCAACTGAGCTACATCCCTGCCGGCCATTCCCTCCCCTACCCTGGACGACGCTGGGCCAATTGCGCGCCGCCCCATGGGTCTCCCGGTCACGGCCGGCTACGACAGAGCCTTAACAAGTCACATAATAAGTTGCATGGACTCACTCTGTGTGCAGTAATAGTGTTTAACGTGATTTTTGAACGACTACCTCATCTCTGTACACCACACATACAATTATCTGTAAGGTCCCTCAGTCGAGCAGTGAATTTCAAACACACATTCAACCACAAAGACCAGGGAGGTTTTCCAATGCCTCACAAAGAAAGGCACTTATTGGTAGAGGGGTAAAACAAAAAGAAAAGCAGACATTGAATATCCCTTTGAGCATGGTGAAGTTATTAATTACACTTTGGATGGTGTATCAATACACCCAGTCACTACAAAAATACAGGTGTCCTTTCTAACTCAGTTGCCGGAGAGGAAAGAAACTGCTCAGGGATTTCACCATGAGGCCAATGGTAACTTGAAAACAGTTACAGAGTTTAATGGCTGTGATAGGAGAAAACAGAAGATGGATCAACAACATTGTAGTTACTCCACAATACTAACCTAATTGACAGAATAAACATATTCAAAATCATGCATCCTGTTTGCAACAAGGCAATAAAGTAATAATGCAAAAAATTTGTAAAAGCAATTCACTTTTTGTCCTGAATACAAAGTGTTATGTTTGGGGCAAATCCAATACAACACATTACTGAGTACCACTCTCCATATTTTCAAGCATAGTGGTGGCTGCATCAGGTTTTGGGTATCCTTGTAATCGTTAAGGACTGGGGAGGCAAAATCCTTGAGGAAAACCTGGTTCAGTCTGCTTTCCACCAGACACTGGGAGAAGAATTCACCTTTCAGCAGGACAATAACCTAAAACACAAGGCCAAATCTACACTGGAGTTGTTTACCAAGAAGACAGTGAATGTTCCTGAGTGGCCGAGTTACAATTTTGACGTATATCTGCTTGAACATCTATGGCATTACTTGAAAATGGTTGTCTAGCAATGATCAACAACCAATTTGACAGAGCTTGAAGAATTTTGAAAAGAATAATGGGCAAATATTGTACAATCCAGGTATGGAAAGCTCTTAGAGACTTACCCAGAAAGACTCACAGCTGTGATCACTGCCAAAGGTGATTCCTTGAGCAAGGAAGTTAACCCCCAACAACAACTGCTCCCCAGGCGCCGATGATGTGGATGTCGATTAAGGCAGCACCCAGCACCTCTATGATTCAGAGGGCTTGGGTTAAATGCAGAAGCCACATTTCGGTTGAATGCATTCAGTTGTGCAACTGACTAGGTATCCCCTGTTCCTTTCCCTAACATGTATTGACACAGGGGTGTGAATACTTATGTAAATGAGATATTTCTGTATTTCATTTTCAATACATTTGCAAAAAAATTCTAAAAACATGTTTGCACTTTGTCATTATGGGGTATTGTGTGTAGATGGGTGAGAAAGAAATCACTCTGTAACACAACAAAATGCGGAATAAGTCAAGGGATATTAATACTTTCTGAAGGCACTGTATGTATATACTGTATTTGTTTTACATTTTGTACAATTGCATGTATTGTTTGCATTTGATGCTTGTTAATTAAAAAAAAAAGTATCGATCTGTTTTCGAACACTTTGCAATTCTTCCTGATGGACAACACACTCATTCTATTTTAATGTTCTGTAACTTTGCACCATGAACAGACCGCATATTACAGCAAGTCTGGGTACCAGTCTTTTTAGGTTACATTCCACTCCTTGCCACTCCTGTCATTTTTCAAATGACGAGTGGAAAACATTCCGCTCCTTGCCGTCAAATGACAGGAGTGGCAAAAGGAGTGGAACGTAATAGCTGTTGCGGAACGGCTTGTACTGAACGACACGTTTCCCCAAAACGTCATTGTACGTTCTTGAACAGACTTTCAGGTACGTTTGCTACCGTTTGGTGGGCGTGGCGAGGTGTAGCTTGAAGCAACGAGTGACATTTTTAAAGGGTAGTGGCCATGCTGACAGTGTTCCCCAACCACTCCCCATTTTTTAACTGGTCGTTCAGTACAGCACCGTTTCCGTTCTATTGAACGTTCCAGAACCTAAACACGTACTGAATACAGCCCAGGGCTCAACGCACCTCTGGCTAAAATGTGCTTTCAAGACAACTAGTACCGCGTTCAAAATAACTGGGAACTCGAAAAAAAACGAGCTCCGACTTGGAAAAATATATATGAACGGTCATTCAACTCTAAATTCCAACTAGGGAACTCGGGCCTCTTTCTAGAGCGCTGACTTTCCGACCTGATGATCACTGACGTCATGATTTCCGAGTTCCCAGTTGTTTTGAACGAGGCATGAGAACTCTGAACGGGGTCAAATTATGACGTCAGTGAACTTCAGGTCGGAAAGTCGGAGCTCTAGAAAAGCCGAGTAGTTTTATTTATGCATTCTTCAAAGAATATGGGCTCGTTAAGGCACATAATACACTTATTATTCCATATCGTCGGTGTGTTATGTGGAGTGAAGTTGTGTTTATATGCCAATTTCCAATACAATAACTTGTTGGTGAAATGCAGAACGTTTCACAGGTAATGTGTTAATATTAAAGTCACATCTAAGCAATAAATATATTCCTCCAATCTTTTTAAAGATGGAAGCAGGGACACTGAACCACAGGCCATCCATATTACAGAGGAAAGACTGTAACCACTTTAGTTCCAACATACCATTCATTGATTCAGAATCAATAATATTGAAGCCCCAATCCTTGTAGGGTCTTAAAACATAAAACATATTTTGTTTTGCTGTGATCATATTACTTATTTCTGAGTGGAGGTACATTATTTATTATTTTCAAAGAATATTAATTTGGCCAATTTCACACACAATGACGTCAAATTTGGTTTATTCCAAAATGATAATGATTTCAATTTCCTAGTCAATAATTTAATTGTATTAGCCAAATTCTTTATACACAAATGTAGATTTTTGAAGATTACCCCCTTATTATTGATTTTTGAAAGAGAGCTTGATATTTTTGTGCAATCATTAAGATTTATTAAAAACAAACAAACCCTGAAACTCATACATACAAGCTCATACATACAAGGTGATATGATATTTATAATTGAATGTGCAGTATACAGTATAAGACCTATGACGTTTTTATTTTATTTTTCAGAATTCCTGAGTTGGTTGACCGATAAAATATTTTTCACTCGGAGCTCTTATTTAAATTTTATTAAAATTTAAATTTGTCTTGAACTCACTGAAGTCGGAAGTTGGAGATTTCCAAGTTCCCATTTGTGTGAACGCGGAAATATTACATCTTCATTGGCTCTTGATTGGTCAAAGTCATACACTTTGACCTAACGCGTAAGCCGGAAGTGGAGCCCATCCGCAGTTTCCACAATGATGAGACTGGTAAGTCGTCAATTGTCGCTTTCTTTCATCGTATAATTAAATGATTTGATCAAGTTCGGTTATTTGGTATGGCAAACATGTTACTAAGACATCTCATCGTGATGTTGCATCGTGCTGGGACGTATGGACATAAGAAACCTCTCATCCAGAGAAGTTAGCTTGCACGCTAACATTATCTGTTAGCTAGGATTTGTTTACATGTTAGGCCTATTTAACAAACTGGTTATTTTATGACAATAGTCACCTAACAAATCATGAACACTAACAAATCAATATCTACAATATCTAGTGAGGTTAGTTAAGTTGTTAGCTAAGTGCCTATCACACACTGGACATGTAACAATCCAGGTATTGGCTGTCTAGCTAGCTAGCTGACGTTAGCTGGTTAACGGGTGTCACTGTTTTAACATGCAATGGATGAGCTATGCAGGTTATAGCATTTTAAAATCACGTGTATGGAGTGATGAATGTTTTCTTCCATATGTTTCTAGGATGACAACGATGATGACGTCTCCCTGTTTGATGCAGAGGAGGATACAGGCAGAGGAGGAAAGTCAAAGAAGACTAAAATCAAGTAAGTTGGTTCAGCATTGCACTCAGTGGCTCAGCCAGGAAACGGTATAATGCAATGGCTCTCAGCCCTGAATAGAAGCGACAGACCCATTCAACCTACTGTATTGTATATTCATGCTCTTACCGTGTTTTCCAGACATCCAGTGGCCTCCTTCTTCCACCTATTCTTCAGAGTGAGTGCCATCCTGGTGTACCTGCTCTGTGAGCTCCTCAGCAGTAGCTTCATCGCCTGCATGGTCACCATCATCCTCTTCCTGTCAGCTGACTTCTGGACCGTTAAGGTAGACCCTAAACAGTAGTAGAACAGGCTATAGAACAGTTAATAATAATAATAATAGATCAGTAACAGCAATAGAATATCGATAGAACAGCAATATAATATCAATAGAACAAGTGTAGATATTGTCAAACCTCTTTCGCTTTAAGTAAGTAGCCTAATGATGTATTAACTCCACTACTATATTTCAGAACATCACAGGGCGGTTGATGGTGGGCCTGAGGTGGTGGAACCAGGTGGATAAAGATGGAAAAAGCCACTGGGTGTTTGAGTCCAGAAAGGTAGATCACACACATCCCAGTCCTTCTGGGCAGACAGTAACTAACTACCCAACTAACTACTACCCTGGGCAGACAGTAACTAACTACCCAACTAACTACTACCCTGGGCAGACAGTAACTAACTACCCAACTAACTACTACCCTCTACTGAAATACCTTCGACTGTAGGGTAAAACCTAGTTCCATAGAACCAGTATCGACTCTGGATTTTGATGTCATAGGGTAAATCCATTTGAATTCAATCACTTTTTTGACAGCATCCCTTTTGATTTAAACAAAATGTTCCATACATGTTTGCCCATGAAAGAAGTGGTTAGAAAGTGACTGACTTTTTGGATGTGAATGTCAAGATAAAGGTGCTCAGTTGACCCATTTTGCATACCCCACCATACCATGAGACATCCATGTCTTCATCACTGGAAAATACAAATGGTTGAGTTTTATATACTTTAAAAGCTTACAAACATTGTTGTCAAACTATTTTATTATTTATTGAAAAAAATGTTTTTGAATAAAAGATCATTTCATTTTTAAACCTTTCAACGTCAATTATCTAAAAACGCGTGAACTGATTTTATTTCTTCATATTCACATATGTTGTAGTTTAGACCCTATTTCACATAATCTGACATTTTTGTGTTGTGCCTGCCATCGGTTGAGACACAACATGCTCTTGAATACAGGGTGGGTGTAATTTCAATCATAGATATAGAATTCATAGAATGGACCTATCCCTTCAGACAACTGCAATTTAGCTGGTACAACATTGAAATTGAATAGAAATGTTAACTTCTAATTACTGCCACAAAGATGGCCGCCGGTCCACCCACCATCAAATGTCAATGTAAATGGTAATATATTTCTATGATTTCAGTAGGTTTCCTATGGAGGATTGACAGTGTAATTTAAAACAACAGATATTCCCATTGAAGTCAACGTTCTCGAATGTGTGGACCTCCAACCATCTTTGTGGTACCACTTGAAAGTTGCCATTTCAAATTTTATTCCCATTTTAGTACATTTATCAGCCAAAACATGACACCACAAAAAAGGTGAACTCATCATGAGGGACCGCAGAGGCGTACCCACACCCACACATGCTCTTGAGTCACAGAAAAAAATAATATATTTTAGAGTTCATTTCCTGCAATTCTACACATTTTGCCATGGGGCGGAGAGAAGACTTTGCAATTTTTATAACAAATTTCATGCAATTTTAAACAGTGTGTGGAAAGAAATGTTTGCAGTTTTTAATATATCAGAGTGAGCGTGACTAACAAAATCAATGGGTGCCCCCTGGTTGGTAATTCGACCATGATTAGCTGGCTAGACTAACTTACCAATCAAAACAATTGTTAGCTGACATGGGCTAATTGAGTGACTGTCAGTGAGTGACATAACAAGAGAGAAACTGCTGATGCACAACCACATTTCTAAATTGCATCTTGTGTATTCTGCTATTCTAACTCTCAACAGTAAGTTGAGACCCCTGTTTGAGTTCCACATTTGTTTTTTTTCCAGTTGCCCATCCCTGCCTTCAATTATGTAAATTATTGTCTAAGATAAAGCAAATGCAAATATGCTTTATCTTTTTTTCATTTTTTCTCTCCAGAAATTATAAAATAGTATGACAACCCTGTTTGTAAGCTTTTATATCATATAAATCTCAACCATTTATCTTTTCCAGTGATGAAGACATGGATGTCTCATGGTGTGGTGGGGTATGCAAAATGGGTCAACTTTGAGCACCTTTATATCTCCTGAACGTTTTTGCATTCAGGTCCAAAAAGTCACTTTCTGAGCACTTCTATAGTGGGCAAATACGTATGGAAGGTTTTGTTCAAATCAAAAGGGGTGCAGTCAAAAGTGATTTGAATTCAAATGGATTTACTCCATAACAAAGCCTATTAGTTAGTTTTATCTGACTCCACCTACTGTATACAATCTTGGGGTGCACATTCTTTTGGATACACTCAAAGCATTATAACCCTCAATCCTAGAATTGACCCAAAAACGTTATATTGCCAAATATATATATATTTTGTAAATATTATTATTTTTTAAATATATTAAATGTTGTTGTTTTTTGGGGGGGGGGTAGATTAGCTTAATATTGCAGATAGATTGTAACTTCCATCAGTGTAATTGTCTGCATCACTTCCAATCCCCCATGTTTTTTATATATATATATTCCCCTTTATTACTTTCCAACCCCGCCACCCTTTCCCTACTTGGGGTAAACTAGTGAACAACAATGCTTAGGCCTCTACTTCCAGCTTATACTTACTATCTACATTTTATGGACACAGTCAATTTTACAATAATTATATATATATATATATATATATTTTTTTTTTCTCCTGAACTTCTTCTACTCTCAACCTCTCCGATCATTTTCATGATGTCCATCCGGTTTGCTTCCATATGCCATATCTTTCTAACTGTGCTCTTTCCCAAAAGCTCCCAACATACAACCTATATACTTATTATGGACACAGTATGCTTACAATATTAGTTATCTTGTTATTATTTTGTTATTAGTTGTTATTAGTCCCATCCTTCAGCTCCATTCAACACCACCCATCTGTCTCATAACACCATCCATATAGGATTTCTATTTGCCATATATATTTCAACTGTACTGTGATGTTTTACAAAAATTCTGAACCTTTCTATTCTCATTGTTTCTACAGATTGTGAATTAAAAATAAACATTTTTGCTAAAAGTATTATTATATTATTGATCGATCGATTGACTATGACTTTTCAGATCACCCAGTAATGCTATCTGCAAGGTTAGCTCCAGGTAAATATTGCAATCCTTTAGCCATTCCTGGACCTGTGTCCAAAAACAAGCTACAAATGGACAGTACCAAAACAAATGATCTAATGATTCTGTCTCTTCGCAGCAAAATCTGCAGAGCTGGGAAGATTGTATCCCCCATATAAATAACATTCTATTAGTAGCAATAATTTTATATAATAATTTAAATTGAAAGATTCAAATTTTTGAATCCGGTGTCGTTTTGCGTATCAGTTCATAAATACTATGCCATGGGATCGGTACGTCAAAAATCTCTTCCCAACTAATTTGCAATCTATATGGGACGGCTGTCAATCATTTGGTCCTTAAATGAAACTGATATACTTTTTTATTTATCACAGTTTTCCTTAACCAATTATGTTCTTTAATGCAAGGCCGACAGACAAGTTCCTTACTTTCTCCCCCTTCCACTTTCCTCTTCCATTTTTGCGGTAAGGCTGCAATTATTTGGTTGTAATTTTGAGTAGAGCAGACATTTCCATATGTTTTTGTTAGCTGCATGTGCGACATAACTCCACCAGTCCTACCGATGATATCATTTACGAATATTATACCTTTTTAAAACATTAGGTCCAAAAAAAAAAAAGTTGTTTTGTTAATTAGTATATTTGACTTTAACCACAATATTTGTTGCATTATTTGTTCTGTCGTTTCTGGAGGATTAAATTGAAATTGCAACCAACTTTCTATGGCTTGTTTTAGAAATAGTGATATTTGGGAGATTATTTCCTTTTCAAATAACTGAAAGTGAGTGGTTGTAATCTGAATAAAGGGAAAAAGGCCATTCTTGAACATTGGATGAGACAATCTTACTAATTTGCTAGAGAAGCAGTTTGGATTTAAGTATAACTTTTGTATGACTGAAGCTTTTAGTGATAGGTCTAATGCTTTAATATTTAATAATGTCTGTCCTTTCATATTCATTATATAAATAGGTCCGTTTAATTTTGTCTGGCTTGCCTTTCCAAATAAAATTGAATATTTTTTTCTCATAGAATTTAAAAAACTGTTCGCTAGGCGTAGGCAAGACCATAAGCAAATAGGTAAACTGGGATAATACTAAAGAGTTAATCAGGGTGATTTTTCCACAAATTGACAGGTATTTACCTTTCCATGGTAGCAAGATCTTATCTATTTTTGCTAACTTTCTATTATAATTTATTGAAGTGAGATTATTTATTTCCTTTGGGATATGTATTCCGAGTATATCCACATCACCATCAGACCATTTTATTGGTAAACTACATTGTAATGTAAAAATTGTATTTTTTAGTGATCCAATACATTTGTCATAATTTGGTTGTAATCCAGAGAGGTTAGAAAATGTATCTAGATCCTCTATGAGGCTGTGGAGGGATTCTAGTTGTGGATTTAAAAGAAAACATGAATCATCAGCGTACAATGACACCTTTGTTTTTAAGCCCTGTATTTCTAATCCTCTGATATTATTATTGGATCTGATTTTAATAGCTAACATCTCGATGGCCACAATAAATAGATATGCCGATAGTGGACAACCTTGTTTCACTCCTCTTGACAGTTTAAATCTTTCTGAGAAATAGCCATTATTTACTATTTTACACCTAGGGTTACTATACATGATTTTGACCCATTTTATAAGAGATTCTCCAAAATTGAAATGCTCCAGGCATTTATATATAAACCCCAGTCGTACTTTATCAAATGCCTTTTCGAAGTCTGCTATGAATAGCAGGCCTGGTTTCCCAGATTTTCCATAATGTTCTATTGTTTCCAATACTTGCCTTATATTATCTCCAATGTATCTTCCATATAAAAAACCTGTCTGATTTAGAATGAATAATATCCGACAATACCTTTTTAATTATATGCGCTATACATTTTGCTAGAATTTTTGCATCACAACACTGAAGTGTAAGGGGCCTCCAATTTTTTAAATGGACTGGATCTTTATATTTTCCACGTGTATCCTGTTTCAGTAATAATGAGATTAGACCTTCTTCTTGAGTGTCAGATAATCTACCATTTACATAGGAGTGGTTAAAACATGCTAATAATGGTCCTCTTAGTATATCAAAAAAGGTTTGGTATACCTCGACTGGTATGCCATCCAACCCTGGAGTTTCCCGGACTTAGTCTTTAATTGCATCCAGAAGTTCCTCCTCTGTAATTTCACCTTCACATGAGTCTTTCTGTATGGCTGTTAATTTTACATTATCAATAGAAACAAAATCTCTACAATTAGCTTCAGTTAGAGGAGATGGAGGCGACTGAAACGAAAACATATGCTTAAAGTACTTTGTTTCCTCCTTCAAAATATTATTTGGTGAATCATGGGTTACTCCGTCAATTGTAACCAGTTTCATTAAATTCTTTTTGGTAGCATTCCTATGTTGAAGATTAAAAAATAATTGTGTGCATTTTTCCCCATATTCCATCCAGTTTGCTTTATTTTTATAATATATTACACTTGATCTTTCTTGAATTAGTTTCTTCATTTATTTTTGTTTTTCCTCTAATATATTTTGAGCCTCTATGTTACAGTTGTTATTGCCATCTATCTGTTCTGTTAGACTTTCTATTTCCTTTCTTAGTATAAACTCTTTTGACCTAAATTGCTTTTGTTTTCGAGATGAGTACTTAATTGCATGGCCTCTAAAGGCACATTTTAAAGGTGTCCCTTACAATAAGGGGATTTGCTGTACCTATGTTATGTCGGGAAAAAGTCAGTTATAAATTCCTTTGTCCTAGTTAAAAATAAATTATCATCCAAAAGGCTTTCATTACATTTCCAATATCCAATATCCTCGCCCACGTGGAAATTCAGTAAGAGTAATGTATATGCCAATTATATGATGGTCCGACCGCATTCTGTCTCCTATCAACACTTTTTAAACTTTTGGTGCCAACGAGAATGACATAAGAAAGAAGTCAAGATGACTAGCTTGATTGAGTCTCCGCCATGTGTATCTCACTAGATCAGGATATTTAAACCTCCATATATCTACTAGTTCTAATGTATCCATGACATTCACGATTTCCTTAAGAGCATGTGGGTGATTGTTTGTGGTGTGATTTCCTTTACGGTCCATTGAGCTATTTAAAACAGTATTATAATCCCCCATCATAATAATATTGTCTTGAATTGCTTGCAGGGTTAATAGTTTATTATATATATATATTGTCAAAAGTGTGGATCATCATTATTTGGTCCATAAAGGTTAATGAGCCATATATGTTTATGGTCCAATAACATATTTGAAATAATCCATCTACCTTGCGTATCTATTTGGACAAAATACTTGCCAAATACTTACTTGGTCGACAAGCTTAGTTGGCATCCACAGATGTGAGAATAACCTCTCTTGTTGTCTATTCACCTCAGGAGAATTCGAAGCAGCTGGTGTCAGACTCCGAGACGAGGGTCTTCTGGCTGGGCCTGGTCGTGTGTCCTGTCATCTGGGTCTTCTTTGTCTTCAGCACCCTCTTCTCCTTCAAGATTAAGTGGCTGGTTAGTTTTAATATAAATACTGTATGTACCACTTAGCAGACACTTCTACCCAAAGTGGCTTACAGTACAGTGAGTGCATGATTCATTTTCTTTGTCTACGGGGATCACTAACGGGAATTGAACCCACGAGCATGGCAACGCCATCGCCATACACTCTCACTGTGAGGTTGCATCAGTGTCAAAAGTCCTGTGTAAATCCCTGTTGTCGTCATCTCCTCTCCTCCACCCAGGCTGTGGTGATCATGGGCGTGGTGTTACAGGGGGCTAACCTGTATGGGTATGTTCGCTGTAAAGTGGGCAGTAGAACGAACTTCAAGGACATGGCTACTAACTATTTCGGACGGCAGATTCTCAAACAGGTGACTTTTTTCTAATGCACAGTCTTAAGAATCTTTCATTTTAATTTCAGAAGTGTGCCCTTTGAAAGCTCCCTGACACACTTCAGGAGAATCGGGAAACAACGTAGATAGGCCTTCCCGGAAAATGGACAAGAATCGTTTGCATTTATTGGATCAGTATTTTGTATCTAATGTTTGTGTTTTTGTTGTGTGTGTTTTCTCTCTGACAGGCAATGACTAAACAAGAGGAGTCATAAAGAAGGACGACTACTCTTAAGATTTTAACTTATGTTTGCATTATTGTGAATGCCACTGTATATCTGGAGTTTTACTAGTAACTAATACTTAATAGAAACCTTTCGGGACATTGCTTACCTTTTGAAGAGTTTTCCCATTTTGATACCATTTCAAGAGAGAAATAGCATAATTTGTAGATAAGGCTGTTTTTCCACTGTAGCTATACTGACTCAAAGCAAATCCCTTATCTGTTTTGTTGTTTTGCATATTTGTTGCTTTGCCTAGACTTTATACAATACAATTTAAATGTTGTTTCTGACTTGTATTATACAAACATGTTGCCTGTATAATATTCATGGTTGTAAATATAGAACATCAAGGTCATGTGTTCACGTGAGACGTCTTTTTGTGCAAATACATTTATAACATTTCCAAAATGACCGGCATGTTTTTTTTGGAGTTATTTTGGATTGACTGCATGAGGTGCATACTCACACTTTGCTCATTGTCAGTATTGTACTCTTGAAATATGATTATTGAAACGCATAGTCAAAACATCAATGAACCCACTGCTAAACTTTTTGGAATCTGAAATCTTTAATGTTACTTTGATGTTTGGGGTCAAAGAGTACATCAACCCCCTCTGATTTGTAGTGTTACTTATGGGAACTTGGTGGGAAGGTATTTTTATTAGATGAAATGATGTGGCATAGTTGAATCAATATTTTGTAAGTAACTTATGAACCTACTTAGCATCAGTCATGCATGCTGGTCATAAGTTAGGTCCAGTGCTCCACAAATGTTAGCGACACCTTGTGGTACATTATTGCAAGATTTTCTGCCACAACAAAGATGGCCACTGTCCATGACCGACGTGAAGAAGACGTATAGAGTAAGCGAGCTCGTGTTGATTGTCCCGCCCCAACCAATGGACAATCTGGGTGTCGTTATTCGTTTGTTGAATAGCTTTTGCTAAATATATGTTCCATATTAGTAGCCTTTATTCTGTATCCACGTTTGGCACAAACAGTCAGGATGATCCCGCCCGAGGGTGAGTCCGCGAGGAAGAGGTGGGTTTCAGGAAATCAAAAGGGTAGCTAGCTTGACTTTGGCAATTAACTACTTTGGCGATTGAATTTGTCTTATTTTCTCCCATTTGTATGCATTTTATGAGTGTAATTTATCCAAATGATAAGTGCACAGTAAATGTTCCCTTACAAAAAAAGATTGCCGTTTTGACTTCCCGAGTGGCGCAGTGGTCTAAGGCACTGCATCGCAGTGCTAGCTGTGCCACTAGAGATCCTGGTTCGAATCCGGGCTCTGTCGTAGCCGGCCGCAACCGGGAGACCAATGGGGCGGCGCACAATTGGCCCAGCGTCGTCCAGGGTAGGGGAGGGAATGGCCGGCAGGGAGGTAGCTCAGTTGGTAGAGCATGGCGTTTGCAACGCCAGGGTTGTCGGTTCGATTCCCACGCGGGGCCAGTATGAAAATAAAAAAAGAATAATGTATGCACTAACTGTAAGTCGCTCTGGATAAGAGCGTCTGCTAAATGACGTAAATGAAACTGCAGTAACTGCAGTCAACTGGTATTTTGGACGCAGTAATTGCAGAATAACTGCAAAATCACTGCAGTAATTGTATTTATTTATTTTGGATGCAGTATACTACAATGTACTGCAGTTATACTGCACTCAGACTGCAGTGTTTTTTTTTCCGGAAGGGTTGAGCCATCATACCACACTTCACTTGTCATAACAGGCACACAGAGACGTTTTCTTTTGATCAGGAATCTAAAAAATGGTAGGCACTAGCAATGGCTTGTTTATAGGCAGTTACAGCATAGTTCTATCCTGTCTAACCACTGTTGTCATAATGTGTTTATTCCCTCTATGAATATCAGGAACAGGAAACCCTGTCCTTCATCAGAGAGAACATGGAGAAGAGTGATCAGCTGATTTAAAGGAATGTTATGTATCTACTCAACAATAAGGCAATCCATACTCACACTTTGCTCATTGTCAGTATTGTACTCTTGAAATATGATTATTGAAACGCATAGCCAAAACATCAATGAACCCTTCAAAGCCGTCCAAAACATGTTACAAGGGCAACATTATAGACCATCTCTGACGTCCTTTCCTACTGAACTCTTTCTGTCGCCCAGGCGTCCATTTTGTCATCGTTTGAGAGTCGTCTGATGTAGCTGGAGAACTCCATCATCCCAGTACACAAGCAGACAGAGAACCTACAGAGGCTTCAGGAGAACGTGGATAAGACCCTGTCCCGCCTGGACCATGTCATCAGTTACTACCATATAGCCAAGGACACCGACAGGATCATCAGAGAGGGGTGAGAGTTCAGAGCGAGAAAGAGACTCACAGGTCAGGTCACATGTTTTAAAAAACGTTTATTTAACCTTTATTTTCACAGGGAAGACGTATTGAGACCTAGGACTCTTTTCCAAATGCGCCCTGTATGATACAATATAAAATACACATTAAACAAACATATATTTACACTACCGGTCAAAAGTTTTAGAACACCTACTCATTCAAGGGTTTTTCTTTATTTTTACTATTTTCTACATTGTAGAATAATAGTGAAGACACCAACACTATGAAATAACACAATGGAATCATGTAGTAACCAAAAAAGTGTTAAAGAAATCTAAATATATTTTATATTTGAGATTCTTCAAATAGCCACCCTTTGCCTTGATGACAGCTTTGCACACTCTTGGCTTTCTCTCAACCAGCTTCACTTGGAATTATTTTCCAACAGTCTTGAAGGAGTTCCCACATATGCTGAGCACTTGTTGGCTGTGTTTCCTTCACTCTGCTGATCGACTCATCTCAAACCATCTCAATTGGGTTGAGGTCGGGGGATTGTGGAGGCCAGGTCATCTGATGCAGCACTCCATCACTCTCCTTCTTGGTCAAATAGTCCTTACACAGCCGGGAGGTGTGTTGGGTCATTGTCCTGTTGAAAAACAAATGATAGTCCCACTAAGCTCAAACCAGATGGGATGGCGTATTGCTGCAGAATGCTGTGGTAGCCATGCTGGTTAAGTGTGCCTTGAATTCTAAATACATCACAGACAGTGTCACCAGTAAAGCACCCCCACACCATAACTCATCCTCCTCCATGCTTTACGGTGGGAAATACACATGCAGAGATCATCTGTTCACCCACACCGCGTCTCATAAAGACACAGCGGTTGGAACCAGAAATCTCCAATTTGGACTCCAGACCAAAGGACACATTTCCACCGGTCTAATGTCCATTGCTCGTGTTTCTTGGCCCAAGCAAGTCTCTTCTTCTTATTGGTGTCCTTTAGTAGTGGTTTCTTTGCAGCAATTCGACCATGAAGGCCTGATTCACGCAGTCTCCTCTGAACAGTTGATGTTGAGATGTGTCTGTTACTTGAACTCTGTGAAGCATTTATTTGGGCTGCAATTACTGAGGCTGGTAACTCTAATGAACTTATCCTCTGCAGCAGAGGTAACTCTGGGTCTTCCTTTCCTGTGGCGGTCCTCATAAGAGCCAGTTTCATCATAGCGCTTTATGGTTTTTGCGACTGCACTTGAAGAAACTTTCTAAGTTCTTGAAATGTTCCGGATTGACTGACCTTCATGTCTTAAAGTAATGATGGACTGTCGTTTCTCTTTGCTTATTTGAGCTGTTCTTGCCATAATATGGACTTGGTATTTTACCAAATAGGGTTATCTTCTGTATACTACCCCTACCTTATCACAACACAACTGATTGGCTCAAACGCATTAAGAAGGAAAGCAATTCCACAAATTAACTTTTAAGAAGGCACACCTGTTAATTGAAATGCATTCCAGGTGGCTCCCTCATGAAGCTGGTTGAGAGAACGCCAAGCGTGTGCAAAGCTGTCATCAAGGCAAAGTGTGGCTACTTTGAAGAATCTCAAATATAAAATATATTTTGATTTGTTTAACACTTTTTTTGGTTACTACTTGATTCCATATGTGTTATTTCATAGTTTTGATGTCATCACTATTATTCTACAATGTAGAAACTAGTAAAAATAAAGAAAAACCCTTGAATGAGTAGGTCATTCTAAAACTTTTGACCAGTAGTGTAGGATCATCTGCTTAAAACCTCTTAAGGATCAGACCCTTTTTTTCAATTTTCGTCTAAAATGAAATACCCAAATCTAACTGCCTGTAGCTCAGGACCTGAAGCAAGGATATGCATATTCTTGATACCATTTGAAAGGAAACACTTTGAAGTTAGTGGAAATGTGAAATTAATGTAGGAGAATATAACACATTAGATCTGGTAAAAGATAATACAAACAAAAAAACATGCGTTTTCTATTTCTTTTGGGTTCCATCATCTTTGAAATGCAAGAGAAAGGCCACAATATAATATTGCAGTTTAGAAGCAATTTAGATTTTGGCCACTAGATGGCAGCAATGTGTGTGCAAAGTTTCAGATAGATCCAGTGAAGCGTTGCAATACTGGACTATTTTGTATCAAGTATGTCCAAATGTGCCGAATTGGTCAATTGATACATTTTCAAGTACATAACTATAGAGAACATACAAAAATGATATGGTAATACAAAATGTAAGTTTACATACTCCCAGGAATGTCATACATGATGGATCATTATACACTAACCTTCACACATCTAGATGGTAGGGCGGGGTGGGTGTGGAGCCAGAGACGGCAAGGGTTCAAACTGTAGAACCCAGTTCCTACATTTGAATATAAACATGGATTTTATCAAACAAAACTATGCTACATTTTATCTTTGGGACCCTCAGGATGACAAATCAGAGCAAGATTACTGAATGTAAGTACATTACTTACCTTCAGAGGTGAATTGTATCAAACCAGTTGCCGTGATACGTTTTTTGTTATGTCACTGTGATAGCTACTGTAAATTGGACAGTGCACTTAGATTAACAAGAATCTAAGCTTTCTGCCCATATAAGACATGTCTATGTCCTGGAAAGTTTGCTGTTACTTACAACAGTCATGCTAATCACATTAGCGCACGTTAGCTCAACCGTCCCGTATACGGGACACCGATCCTGTAGAGGTTAATGACAAAAATGGTAAATGTAAGAACTACTACCCTCCATCCATCACCGCTTAGCTCTGTCCACCCTACTATACACAGCTTGAACCCATTAATAAACTGTTCTCTTAACTGTGTACACTGTGTATGTACAGCATCTCCTAGTGTTGTCTATCTCTCTTTTCTATTACAGAATGACCCTGACAAGGAGCACAACATGCCCAAGGATGGAACGGTCCATGAGCTCACCAGCAATGTAAACAAACACCATCCCTCTTGACATCCAATCTGGAGTTTAAATAGTGGTATACGTTGCTGTCACATCCCTTCATCCCTTACCTCAGTTCACCCTGGTCTCTTTCTCGTCCCCATCCTGTTCCTTCAGCAGCTGCTGGACTTCCTGGAGACTGCTGAAGCCATGCTGACCTCTCAAGGTAGGGAGGGGTTAGTGGACCATCCAGGGCCTGGGGCCCATCCCAGATGGCACCCTATTCACTATATAGGGAATAGGGTGCCATTTGGGACGCAGCCCTGCTCTCCTGTTAGTGACCACTAGCCTCTGTTTAATGTTTGTCTGTTCTGAAACAGTAGTAGACCATAGGAGAAGTCCCATGTATCCACCAACTGATTTTTGTACTAGAAACTAGATTTCCTGTCCAGTTACGTCTCATCAGCATTTCTCTCCTCCAGAGTTCTTTCTGGTCCTACTTCCTCCGCCTGTGTCTTTAACTTCCTCTTATGTGCTGCTGTCTTGACCATACCTCTTCCTCTTCCTCTCCATCGCTACTGCCTTTTTCTGCCTCTAGAGGGAGCCCCTAGACCAGGGGTGTCCAACATACGGGGAGCCCCTAGATCAGGGGTGTCAAACATACGGGGAGCCCTTAGACCAGGGGTGTCAAACATACGAGGAGCCCCTAGACCAGGGGTGTCAAACATACGGGGAGCCCCTGGACCAGGGGTGTCAAACATACTGGGAGCCCCTGGACCAGGGGTGTCAAACATACGGGGAGTCCCTGGACCAGGGGTGTCAAACATATGCCTGCTTTATAAATGACTCAAACCAAATCGAAAACTGTGTAGAAATGATAATGGACCTACATTCATACAGTTTCATGACTGTCTCCAGCTCTCTAATAATCACCGAAATGAAAGCTAGATAGCATCGAAAATTCAAAAAACGATGAGTAGAGGTCTATTTTTTATTTTTATTTTGATGGCGAAGAAATATAACCTCTGTAGCTCAGCTGGTAGAGCACGGCGTTTTTAACGCCAAGGTAGTGGGTTCGATCCCCGGGACCACCCATACACAAAAATGTATGCACGCATGACTGTAAGTCGCTTTGGATAAAAGCGTCTGCTAAATGGCATATTATTATATTATTATAACCAATTTTCAGTGTGGTGAAGACCGAATGCGGCCCCCGGGACAAAATTAGTTTGACATCCCTGCCCTATACACCCCATATGCAGTGCAAAGTATTCATACCCCTTGACTTTTTCCACATTTTGTTACATTACAGCCTTATTCTAAAATTGATTAAAAAATAAAATAATCCTCATCAATCTACACACAATACCCATAATGACAAAGCAAAAACTGTTTTTTAGAAATATCACATTTACATAAGTATTCAGACCCTTTACTCAGTACTTTTCTGAAGCACCTTTGGCAGCGATTACAGCCTAGAGTCTTCTTGGGTATGACACTACAAGCTTGGCACACCTGTATTTGGGGAGTTTCTCCCATTCCTTTCTGAAGATCCTCTCAAGCTCTGTCAGGTTGGATGTGGAGCGTTGCTGCACAGCTTTTTTCAGGTCTCTCCAGAGATGTTCGATCGGGTTCAAGTCCGGGTTCTGGCTGGGCCACTCAAGGACATTCAGAGACTTGTCCTGAAGCCAGTCCTGCGTTGTCTTGGCTGTGTGCTTAGGGTCGTTATCCTGTTGGATGGTGAACCTTCGCCCCAGTCTGAGGTCCTGAGCGCTCTGGAGCAGGTTTTTATCAAGGATCTCTCTGTACTTTGCTCCGTTCATCTTTGCCTTGATCCTGACTAGTCTCCCAGTCCCTGCCGCTGAAAAACTACCCCACAGCATGATGCTGCCACCACCATGCTTCACCGTAGGGATGGTGCCAGGTTTCCTCCAGACGTGACGCTTGGCATTCAGGCCAAAGAGTTCAATCTTGGTTTCATCAGACCAGAGAATGTTTGTTCTCATGTTTGAGAGTCTTTAGGTGCCTTTTGGCAAACTCCAAGCGGGCTGTCATGTGCCTTTTACTGAGGAGTGGCTTCTGCCACTCTACCATAAAGGCCTGATTGGTGGAGTGCTGCAGAGATGGCTGTCCTTCTGGAAGGTTCTCCCATCTCCACAGATGAACCCTGGAGCTCTGTCAGAGTGACCATCGGGTTCTTGTTCACCTCTCTGACCAAGGCCCTTCTCCCCCGATTGCTCAGTTTCCCCGTGCGGCCAGCTCTAGGAAGAATCTTGATGGTTCCAAACTTCTTCTATTTAAGAATGATGGAGGCCACTGTGTTCTTGGGGACCTTCAATGAAATATCACATTCAATGCTGCAGACATTTTTTGGTACCCTTCCCCAGATCTGTGCCTCGTCACAGTCCTGTCTCTGAGCTCTACGGACAATTCCTTTGACCTCATGGCTTGGTTTTTGCTCTGACATACACTGTCAACTGTGGGACCTTATATAGACAGGTGTGTGCCTTTCCAAATAATCTCCAATCAATTGAATTTACCACAGGTGGATTCCAATCAAGTTATAGAAACATCTTACGGATGATCAATGGAAACAGAATGCACCTGAGCTCAATTTCGAGTCGTATAGCAAAGGGTCTGAATACTTATGTAAATAAGGTGTTTCTGTTTTTATTTGTAATACATTTGCAAAAATGTCTAAACCTGGTTTCGCTTTTTCATTTTGGGGTATTTTGTGTGGATTGCAAACAAATATCATATTTAATCCATTTTAGAATAAAGCTGTAACTTTACAAAATGTGGAAAAAGTCAAGGGGTATGAATACTTTCCGAAGGCACTGTACACTAAGTATGCCAAACATTAAGGACACCTTCCTAATATTGAGTTGCATCCCTTTGCCCCTCAGAACATCCTCAATTCATTGGGGCATGGACTCCACAAGGAGTCAAAAGCGTTCAACAGGGATGCTGGCCCATGTTGACTCCAATGCTTCCCACTGTTGTGTCAAATTGGCTGGATGTCCTTTGGGTGGTGGACCATTCTTGATAAACACAGGAAACTGTGGAGCGTGAAAAACCCAGCAGCGTTGCAGTTTTTGACACAAACCGGTGCGCCTGGCACATACTACCATACCCCGTTCAAAGGCACTTAAATATTTTGTCTTCCCCATTCACCCTCTGAATGGGACACATACAAAATCCATGTCTCAAGGTTTAAAATTCTTTAACCTGTCTCCTCCCCTTCATCTACACTGATTGAAGTGGATTTAACAATTGGCATCAATAAGTGATCATAGCTTTCACCTGGATTCTCCTGGTCAGTTTGTGTCATGGAAAGAGCAGGTGTTCTTAATGTTTTGTACACTCAGTGTACAGTACAATGGACAGGCTATTCATTTTCTAGGGAGTATCTGAGTAACTATTTCTACCTCAATGGCCACATATCAGCATTTGAACCTTTTGAGAGGGTAAGATATGGACCATCAGAATAAGACCAATCCTACTTGCAATAAGGATGAAAAGGGCCTCCCACTGCAAACCACCGCTGCTTACTGCCCAAGTGCCTGGCTAAATCCCTCCTGCATCCCTGTACCATGCCCCTATACCCCTCACCCCATGTCCCCTACCCAGAAACCACCATGTGAACAGTACTATGCTTAGTATGCACTAACAGATCTTTTCTAACCTTTTGCACTTTGATTCTCTCTTCTTCTCTCTTTTTTTCTTGCCTCTGCCCTGAAGTACTGGGTGACACTTACAATATCCCTTTAGACCCCAGAGGTAAGAGTATCCCTTTAGAACCTCCAATGTAAGAATATCCCTATAGAACCCGAGGTAAGCATATCACTTTAGAACCCCTGAGGTAAGGATATCCCTTTAGAACCCTGAGGTAAGAATATCTTTCTAGAACCCTGAGGTAAGAATATCCCTTTAGAACCCCCAATGTAAGAATATCCCTTTAGAACCTCCAATGTAAGAATATCCCTTTAGAACCCGAGGTAAGTATATCACTTTAGAACCCCCGAGGTAAGGATATCCCTTTAGAACCCTGAGGTAAGAATTACACTTTAGAACCCTGAGGTAAGAATATCCTTCTAGAACCATGAGGTAAGAATATCCCTGTAGAACCCAGAGGTAAGAATATCCCTCTAGAACTCAGAGGTAAGAATATCCCTCTAGAACCCCGAGGTAAGAATATCCCTCTAGAACCCAGAGGTAAGAATATCCCTTTAGAACCCCGAGGTAAGAATATCCCTTTAGAACCCAGAGGTAAGAATATCCCTCTAGAACCCAGAGGTAAGAATATCCCTCTAGAACCCCGAGGTAAGAATATCCCTCTAGAACCCTGAGGTAAGAACATCCCTCTAGAACCCAGAGGTAAGAATATCCTTCTAGAACTCAGAGATAAGAGTTACCCTTTAGAACCCCTAGGTAAGAATATCCCTCTAGAACCCTGAGGTAAGAATATCCCTGTAGAACCCCCGAGGTAAGAATATCCCTCTAGAACCCTGAGGTAAGAATTACACTTTAGAACCCTGAGGTAAGAATATCCTTCTAGAACCATGAGGTAAGAATATCCCTGTAGAACCCCGAGGTAAGAATATCCCTCTAGAACCCCCGAGGTAAGAATATCCCTCTAGAACCCTGAGGTAAGAATTACACTTTAGAACCCCGAGGTAAGAATATCCTTCTAGAACCATGAGGTAAGAATATCCCTGTAGAACCCCGAGGTAAGAATATCCCTTTAGAACCCTGAGGTAAGAATATCCCTTTAGAACCCCTAGGTAAGAATTACACTTTAGAACCCTGAGGTAAGAATATCCTTCTAGAGCCATGAGGTAAGAATATCCCTGTAGAACCCAGAGGTAAGAATATCCCTTTAGAACCCTGAGGTAAGAATATCCCTTTAGAATTCCTAGGTAAGAATATCCTTCTAGAACCCTGAGGTAAGAATATCTCTTTAGAACCCCGAGGTAAGAATATCCTTCTAGAACCCTGAGTTAAGAATATCTCTTTAGAACCCCGAGGTAAGAATATCCCTCTAGAACCCAGAGGTAAGAATATCCCTCTAGAACCCAGAGGTAAGAATATCCCTCTAGAACCCAGAGGTAAGAATATCCTTCTAGAACCCAGAGGTAAGAGTTACCCTTTAGAACCCCTAGGTAAGAATTACCTTCTAGAACCCCGAGGTAAGAATATCCCTTTAGAACCCCGAGGTAAGAATATCCCTCTAGAACCCAGAGGTAAGAATATCCCTCTAGAACCCCGAGGTAAGAATATCCCTTTAGAACCCAGAGGTAAGAATATCCCTCTAGAACCCTGAGGTAAGAATATCCCTCTAGAACCCAGAGGTAAGCAAAGACAAGACGGGTTTCACAGGTGCATCAGTACCAGAGGACTGGGGAAGGACAGAGGAGTGGGGAAGAACAGAGGAGTGGGGAAGGACAGAGGAGTGGGGAAGGACAGAGGAGTGGGGAAGAACAGAGGAGTGGGGAAGGACAGAGGAGTGGGGAAGGACAGAGGACTGGGGAAGAACAGAGGAGTGGGGAAGAACAGAGGAGTGGGGAAGGACAGAGGAGTGGGGAAGAACAGAGGAGTGGGGAAGGACAGAGGAGTGGGGAAGAACAGAGGAGTGGGGAAGGACAGAGGAGTGGGGAAGGACAGAGGACTGGGGAAGGACAGAGGAGTGGGGAAGGACAGAGGAGTGGGGAAGGACAGAGGAGTGGGGAAGGACAGAGGAGTGGGGAAGGACAGAGGACTGGGGAAGGACAGAGGAGTGGGGAAGAACAGAGTCATTAATAACTAGACTGTTTCTGAATGTATGAATGAATGGTCTAAGGTCTCCCATCAACACTTTGTATATGATTTAGTTCATGGATGGGTAACAATGTTACAGAAAACCCATTGACATAAATACATCAATAATAAGTATGTGTATTGGTATTGCAGTGGAACATGGATCATGCTACTGAAGCTGCTTGCAGTATAATGGAAATTGCGTTCTGACATTACCATGGAAACAGCCATCTAGTCGAATTCTCTCTCCCATTTATTTTGAGTCAATTAAACTTTCGCTTCTAATGAAAAAAGGTATTTGAACAGGAATAGAAAATATAATAATTTAAGTCCCAAAAGAGATCAAGGGAGATGAACTGAAAGGTGATTTTGATGATATTATATCCCAGTTGATGGATTAGCAGTCACACAGTGGATTATGTAACTCAGAGATTATAGATAGATCTTATGTTAACACTGTTTTACCATCTACAGAGACCAGTTCGTCAGCCATCAGCTACAGCTCTGAGTTCAGCAGGAGACTTCTCAGCACCTACATATGTAAGTTCAGGAAGTAAAGATGCAGAAGTACATACCGTTAGTACATACCGTAAGTACATACCGTAAGTACATACCGTAAGTACATACCATAAGTACATATCATATGTTAGTTTATGAAGAAAATGAAGACCTTAATTAAAGGAAGATTCAGCGATATGACGTAGATTAAGAATGTAAACAGCATCCTGGTTCAATTTACGCAGCAACTAAGATCGCTGAAGCGCAAGGCTCGACTTCTCAGCTGTTTTGGTGCCCTGGCTACCATGCTGTGAAGTGTTGCATCTCGCTCATCTCAATATCACCGCAGATATCGCCATGTAAGACTTTGCTGTCACACAGCGTATCTGCGCATGTGCACTGGTTCGCTTCACGCTGCTACGACATGGTTGCTACGGGACCAAAACAGCGGAGAAGCTTAGCCTCACGCTTCAACGCTCTTAGTTGTTGTGGAAATGTACCCACACTGCTGTTTACTTTGTGCATCTATGTCATCTTGCTGAGTCTACCTTTAAGTAAATCGACAGTACAAGTCAAAGGTTTGGGCACACCTACTCATTCAAGGGTTTTTCTTTATTTTTACTATTTTCTACATTGTAGAATAATAGTGAAGACATCAAAACTACGAAATAACACATATGGAATCATGTAGTAACCAAAGAAAGTGTTAAACAAATAAAAATATATTTTCTATTTGCGATTCTTCGAAGTAGCCACACTTTGCCTTGATGACAGCTTTGCACACGTTTGGCGTTCTCTCAACCAGCTTCATGAGATAGTCACCTGGAATGCCTTTCCTTCTCAATGCGTTTGAGCCAATCAGTTGTGTTGTGACAAGGTAGGGGGGGTATACAGAAGATAGCCCTATTTGGTAAAAGAGTTGAAGTAAATAGACATGCTACATGTAATACAAATGTACACTAAGTATATAAAGGACAGAGCTTTGAATTGTTTTGGTCACATGTATCTTTCTTTGTCACATTATTTCACTTTTCTCCAAGACAAACGTCCCCTACAGGACAATAAAGTTGATCTTATTTATCTTACAGTATCTTATACCTTCATAACTAGATGACTCAAATGTGTATATTATTTGAACCAACCAAGCACAGTTTCTAGTACAAATGTTTTATTCTGTTTTGGTTCTCTCTCAGGTCAATCAATCAATCAATTTTATTTTATATAGCCCTTCTTACATCAGCTAATATCTCGAAGTGCTGTACAGAAACCCAGCCTAAAACCCCAAACAGCTAGTAATGCAGGTGTAGAAGCACGGTGGCTAGGAAAAACTCCCTAGAAAGGCGAAAACCTAGGAAGAAACCTAGAGAGGAACCAGGCTATGAGGGGTGGCCAGTCCTCTTCTGGCTGTGCCGGGTGAAGATTATAACAGAACCATGCCAAGATGTTCAAAAATGTTCATAAGTGACAAGCATGGTCAAATAATAATCAGGAATAAATCTCAGTTGGCTTTTCATAGCCGATCATTAAGAGTTGAAAACAGCAGGTCTGGGACAGGTAGGGGTTCCATAACCGCAGGCAGAACAGTTGAAACTGGAATAGCAGCAAGGCCAGGCGGACTGGGGACAGCAAGGAGTCACCACGGCCGGTAGTCCCGACGTATGGTCCTAGGGCTCAGGTCTCTCAGTTGGCTTTTCATAGCCGATCATTAAAGTGTTGGGGAACCGGCAGCTCAATCTTCTCAGTAAATCCAAGGTGTACGAGGACTCTGCTCTGAGTGCCATCTTCCTCCACAACAACTACAGCTACATCCTCAAGTCCCTGGAGAAGTAGGCCCCCGTTTATCACCTTATCACATCTGCCTGCCTGCACAACCACACACACACCATTTTCCATTGATATCTTTCAAAAGTACTAGTAACTCGATTGATATCAGCTACTCAAACGTACACTCAGCGGCCAGTATATTAGGTACACCATCTAGTACCGGGTCGGAGCCCCCCTTTGCCTCCAGAACAACCTGAAATCTTCGGGGCATAGATTCAAATGGTATCAAGGGACCTAACGTGTGCCAGGAAAACATTTCCCACACCATTACACCACCGCCACCAGCCTGTACCGTTGACACCAGGCAGGATGGGACCATGGACTCATGCTGCTTACACCAAATCCTGACTCTGACATCAGCATGACGCAACAGGAACCAGGATTCGTCGGACCAGGCAATGTTTTTCCACTCCTCAATTGTCCAGTGTTGGTGATCGCATGCCCACTGGAGCTGCTTCTTCTTGTTTATAGCTGATAGGAGTGGAACCCGTTGTTAGATTCTGACAAAACAGAGTAAAAACTCAAGGACCATTAAGAGAAGCTCAAACCAAGTTTATTCACCCAATGGGTCAAACAGCTGAAGGACAAAACATGTTCCCACCAGCACAAGTATATATACCCCACTTTGGGGGGGGGGAGTCTCCTCCTCTTCTCTAAACATGACATCTATGTTGCAAGGCAGGAAGTTAAGTGATGTGGGTAATAAACTGTTCCTTCTCCCTTAATGTGACCTGACCTGACTTCGGCCCCCATTCCTCACTAATCCACAGCCATCCACCCTCATCAGTGACCGCAGCCATGTGATTGCCTTCCCTTACTTAGTAACATTCTAAGGCCATGGCTATTATCCAACCTCCATTGAGCCCAACATATACATTCCTCCACATATAACCATTAACTTCTGGTGTAGCAAGTATTTCAAATTACAACCCAACAACTGAAACCACACTGTGGCCCTTCTCTTCTCTATAGGATCCCTCACATTTCAAGTTTAGAAAGCATCACCGGTGTGGTCGTCTGCTGCAATAGCCCATCCGTGAGAAAGACAGACGAGTTGTGCGTTCCGAGATGCCGTTCTGCACACCACTGTTGTACTGTGCCGTTATTTGCCTGTTTGTGGCCCGCCTGTTAGCTTGCACCATTCTTACCATTCTCCTTCGACCTCTCATCAACGAGCTGTTTTCACCCACAGGACTGCCACTGACTGGATGTTTTTTGTTTGTCGCACCGTTCTCTGTAAACTCTAGACACTGTTGTGCATGAAAAGCCCAGGAGGGCGGCCGTTTCTGAGATACTGGAACCGGCACACCTGGCACGACGATCATACCACACTCAAAGTCACTTAGGTCACTCGTTTTGACCATTCTAACGTTCAATCCAACAGTAACTGAATGACTCAATGCCTGTCTGCCTGCTTTATATAGCAAGCCACAGCAATGTGACTCACTGTCTGTAGGAGCGAACCATTTTCGTGAACAGGGTGGTGTACCCAATAAACTGGCCACTGAGTATAACAAATATTAGGAACACCTTCCTAATATTGAGTTGCACCACCCCTTTTGCCCTCAGAACAGCCTCAATTTGTCGGGGCATGGACTCTACCAGGTGTTGAAAGCGTTCCACAGGGATGCTGACCCATGTTGACTCCAATGCTTCCCACAGTTGTGTCAAGTTGGCTGGATGTCCTTTGTGTGGTGGACCTTTCTTGATACACACAGGAAACGGTTGAGCATGAAAAACCCAGCAGCATTGCAGTTCTTGACACAAACCGGTGTGCCTGGCACGTACTACCATACCCCGTTCAAAGGCACTTACATTATCTGTCTTGCCCATTCACCCTCTGATTGGCACACATACACAATCCATGTCTCAATTGTCTCAAGGCTTATAAATCCTTCTTTAACCTGTCTCCTCCCCTTCATCTACACTGATTGAAGTGGATTTAACAGGTGACATCAATAAGGGATCATGGCTTTCACCTGGATTCACCAGGTCAGTCTATGTCATGGAAATAGCAGGTGTTCTTAATGTTTTGTATACTCAGTGTATATAGCCTACAGTAAACACAAATCAACAAATGCATTGCCATGGACCAAACACCTTTTCTAACACACACGTCCAGACATAGAATACATGAAGCATTAACACTAGAACTGCCATCGGCCAACGGCCACTGACGTTTGATTTTGTAAGTAAACTAAATCAGCCCCACAAAAAA